TCATTATCAGACTAAAGGGTCAGTATACAGTGAATTCATTGTCACAACTAAAAGAAAAAAAAAGAAAAAGAAACGAAGGACAAGCATTCAATCTGACCTCAGATTAAGTCGATGTTACAAGAATGAGAGAAAGAGAAACAAATGATTTGTTTTTCTTTGATTAGTAAAATAAAAGAAGTATTTATGAATTTATATTAAGTTTTAAAAAGATTTTCTTTTTTTGAAATAATTTATATTCAAAATTAAATAGAATATTAACAATAATATCTGGCTTTTTTTGTGTCGATTATACTTGAATAGTGTAAACAAATCGGAAAGAAAAAAGTTAAATAATTCTTTTGTCATTGCAGAAGAGATAATTGTAAGAAATGAATAGAAGTGGTTTCGAGTATACACAAATAATAACTGCTCTTGAGTCTTTTGTAATGCTATCTATGACGTATGATATGACAAGTTATGGATATAAAACCATTTGAAAACAATGAAAAGTATTGTTTTCTATCATTTTTACTAAATGAATATTGTTCAATAGATACATATGATCAATCTATAAGTATTCCATCATATTTTTTTTTATTTTGATTTTTATAAACAATTGTTTGATCATCATAAATCAATGGTTGAAAGAAATCGGACATAAACACCAAATTTTATTTAACGAAAACATTGATTTTGTGAAACAAATTGCTGTCATATGTCAAGTCATCTCTTGCATCTATGTTGTACTCAATTTATTGCACGTTTATGTCTAGACACACCTATATGCATGCATATATCTATCTTGCTAGTCTAGGGCCAAGTAAAATGACTCTTGGTGAACGTTACTTGTTTTCTAGAAATTCATGATCAATATTTTTACGTAGATGTTGTAGACAATATTAGAATTCTAATGTTGCCTGGACACTCATCAGTCAGAACTAGATTTTTAGTATTGACTGAACACAGTGAGAACTCGACTAGAGATAAACTCATACAATCAAAAACAATAAAAATGTGATTAAAATATTTTTTTTTTCTAAAAGTATCTTTTTATTTCAGTATACACTTGACAAGACAAAAGATTATAATCTATTCACTCATATTAGTACAGTTACTTCTTTTTAAATGACATTTTGTTGAACAAAAAACACCATTCTTTGTTTTTTACATGAACATTGTTTTGCAGCACACTTGTCTTTATATTTGCAAGCACTACCAGTTGTTGAATTCGATTCAGATGTTTTTTTTTTATTTCATTGTAATATAGATAATATTTTGACAATATACAGATGAGGATGGAACAAAGTGCCCAAACTCGAGCCAGCAAATACTAGAGTAAGTTCATGAAGATCCAAACGTTCTTTCAGTTTTTTCAAAGAAAATTTCTTTTTTTCTTTGTCTTACAACTCACTAAACATGAATTATAACGATCTCATTATGCAAAATTCTTTAAACTTTGACAATTTCAATTATACGAAAGTTTTCATAACTCTCATTGTATAGTGTCAATAAACCCCATTTTTGATGGGTTTTCGTTTAGTACAAAATTCATTATTTACTCAATTTGAAATTATAGCGTTATCTCCGTAGAAAAATATTATTTTTCCTCTAGTATGAGCACCTCAGTACTTTTCAGAATAATTTGGTGCACAGTGCCTGTGCTTTCCCTCTCATATAGTTCTGATTTTTCCACAATTGTCGATACATTTTAAAACTTTAAATCAAGCTTATGAGGTTAAAATATGTTTATATGATAGATTTATCCTAATTTGATAATACTTTTTTAACCAAACGTCATGCAGAATGTGTCTTTTCAAGTATGCTCAAGAAAATGCGCTTCATTCCATTAGATAAACAATAAAAATGCATTCAGTTAACTGATTAATATTGCAATAGAACATAGTTGCATGTTTTCGTCATGCTGCTTTTAAAAATCTATAAGTATCTCAGTATCATCTCAGCACTTTTTCAGCATAATTTGGTACAAAGGTACAGCACTTACTCCCTTGATTCACACGCTTTTCATTCAAACAATGACTAGTCATGAATCATATTTGATAGATAGCTATGAATCCATCTATGAAAATATAATATGTCAATAGCTAATTTTGTTCAGGTTTTGATACTCTATCTTTTGATATATTACACGAAAAATTTTGTTAAGTTATTATCATCTGAAAAACTCAACTTTCTAAGACCAATTTTTGACGATATACTTCAAACATACTTAAAAGTGCTTGAAAATCATACAAGACTAAATTTTCACTAGCTGAACCAAATACTTGAAAATTTTGTATTTAGAGATTTTAGATGATGTTGAACGAGATGAGAGCATAAAGTCAAAAAACTAAATTTTGACGAATGCTTTGGTTTCTGATCTGATGCTCGATCGTTTCATGAAAGCTCTCTTCATTATTTATGTCTCAGATATAAAGAAGAAGAAGAAGAAGAAGAAGAACATTTTTTTCATTTCGTGAAAAATCAAAACTAGTGTAATAAAGAGTGACCGATAATGGTAAGTCACATAGTTCTTCATTATGAAAAATAGATTTAGAATTAGTTAGATAGAGTCATACAAAACTCTTCGAAATAGTAACGGAATCAAAAGTCTTTTTAAATAGTGTTTGTGTTATTCACTTTATAATAATTGGTAAAAGAACAACATAAATGACAGTGCATTAGTATCTATCTTCGATTATTAAATATGATAATTGTTGAATAAATATTTACATTGATAAAAAATAAACGACTTTATTTCTTGAGGCAAAACGAAAACAGTAGAAAAACAAAAATATTGTGTATGAGCATTTATATGTGATAGAGAAAAAAAACGAAAATTCATTGAAAGACATACAAGTTAACACACAATAAATAAAAACATTTTAAAAAATCTGAATCATTTCAAAATCTAGTTGGAATGATCATATATTTGAATTGTTTGAAAATATTTTTTGCTTCAATTATACAATAATATAAAATCGATGCTCGTGGGAAATATTCTTTATTCTATAATTGTTTATTTAATTCATCTAATTATTAATCATTAGTTCAATCAAGATGACTTTCAACGTGAACAAAAATGAAGAAAAAAAAATGAATGCGTCATAAAGATCCCAAGAACGGAATGTCAGAAAATAATCATTGAAACGTGAGCTGAAAGTATCGAAGTCGAATCGATATTATTTCTTTTTCATCTTTTCAAGGATGTTCTGTTTTCTTACAAATTATGCATGAAAAACACAAATTTTTGAGAACTTCATTCTTGTTTACCTTTCGAAATAATCTAAATGATCACAACATAAAAAGTAAGCGATAGTACACTGTATAAGCTCATTTTATTCCTCGCAGTTTTATGGAAGATTGACAATAGATAATAAAACAAAAATAAATTGACAACATTCTCTAAAAACAAGTTGATATGTGTTAATATAGTTCACGTATTGGCCATATCTAGTTTTAAATTCCTTTTGCATTTTCCATCAGCGAAATGACTGAGACGTAAATAATTCAAGTTTGCGATAAGAGCGATAGGAAAGAAATTCATTGCTGTGAACTCTAAATATCTCGTATGAAAAAACATTGCATGATTAGTCGTAGAAAAAATTATTGGTTTTTTATGATATATCAACTTTTTTCTCTAATAGACAGTAGAAACTTCGTATCGCATTTTGCAATCGGATAAAACTCAAAGATCATCTAGTTTTCGAATGTTTTTTATTTTGTCGGGATTATTTTCTAAAAATCATTAGTAGTTTCTATTGAAATTATAATAATGGTAAAGAATTTCGAAATTTCTTATTGTTTCGTTATCAATAGAAAACTCACAGTACAATTGAAATATCAGTTTAGACTACTATAAGTTGATGTTCTTTCTAGAAAACTATATTTGCCACATATTGATATACAGCATCAGATAGTGTTTTGAACTATTTTTTGCCAAGTAGTATCATATGTAAAACAAGTTTCTTTTCATGTCATATTCACATTCATTCTTTCTTTTATTTATCAAAGAAAAGATAAATAAACGAGAAAGGCAAAAAAGAATTGATAACCAGTAAAAAAGAAAAAATCGAAAATACAGGTATTTCGAAAAAAAGAAAGAGTAATTGAATAATTAGTAGAAACGACTCACACACAAAAAATAAACACAATATTTAGTTTAAATTGAGAAGTTTTTTAGATTGATACCATATCTTTAAAATAGACCGTAGTATAGAAGCAGAGAGAGTTTAGCAGACTGGATCTATGGAAGGCTCTCCGAGGTTGAAGCATTGACGAACACGTTTGTAGGTTTCTACTCTACTCAACTGATTATTGTAGCCTGGCCCATAGTTACACTCGAGAGGACCATTGATGATGCGAGTCGTAGCAGCAAAATCACCTCTTTGAGCTGGTTCAGCCATACCATTTTCATTGTAGAACCACAGAGCCGTACTCACTGCTAGCTCAGGATCATTTTCCACCTGGTCTGGATCTGCGAGAAGATCAACGCCAAGATGCTGACCTGCATTGTAATAGTTACATGGCCATGAGAGCAGAAACCAACCTCGACCATAGTAAAATTTTCCCATCGCACCCGAGATGCCACACCAAGAGTTATTGTACATAGAACCACAACCTAGTGTTTGAGAGAAAAATGAAATTTTTCAGCTTCAATTATTTTAATATTCAGAGATAATTAATTTATTCTCACCCCTCCGACTAAATGAGATTCAAAATTTTCTATACATTTCTCTGAGAAAAACTTTTTTTGTTTGTATACTCAGATTGAAATGAACCAAATAGATGCGAATGTCAACTTTAGCAGTTACAAATTGAAATTTTGAAATTTTACAAAAAATAATTCATTTCATCCCATTTCACTTCTTTGTTTTCAAAAGTAAAAGTAGCTTTCAATGAATCAGTGTCTCTATTCACAGCGAAACTAGTCTCATAATATGCTTCCAAGAATCACGTTGTTCAATATTCCAAAAGATACTTATGATAGAGCGCACTTTAGATGTTTTCACATATTGAAGAATTCAGAAAAGCATACCTGGAGCGCAATATTCTCTCGTTGTCTGGAGTCCATCTGTCTCATGAAATGCATGTGCAAGAAAGACAGCAGCTTCATCTTTGTTCACCGGCGTCCAGCCGGTTGCTTTTAGTCCATCAAATCGTTTAGCGCGTACTGTAGGATCGATCATGTTGAAAACACAAGCAAATGTACTGCTGTCAATAACACCAACTGAATCCCTTTCATTGGTGCCCCCATTATCGCCATTATTGTTGTCACCTTCATTATTATCACCATTATTATCATCACCATTATTATTGGCATCAGCAGTATTATCATCGCCATTATTATCTTCAACGTTATTATCGTTATCACCATCGTTATTATCATCACCATTATTATTGGCATCAGTAGTAGTATCATCACCATTATTATTGGCATCAGTAGTAGTATCATCACCATTATTATTGGCATCAATAGTAGTATCATCATCATTATTATTGGCATCAGCAGCNGGAACCTGTGTCCAAGGAAAGAACTTTTAAAGTTTCGTATGAATCTACCGAACTTTAAAATGTTGTTGCAATAATATTCGAATCTTCTTTAGGTTCGATAGATTCATACGACACCTCAAAGGTTCTTCCCTGGACGCAGGTTCCGTAATAAACCTAATTTTTTCAGAGTGCAGACTCACACCCATATCCCACATCCACACCCACAACACACACTCACATCCGTATCTGAATAAAAGTCATTTCATGAGTACTAATAAATCTTGTACCTTTAATTGATGTAATAACATTATTTGATAGATTCAACGTTGTCTTAACTAATGTTTGTATTGATACTGAAGATGACAACTGATCATAATCACTTGGAGTATCAGCGTCGTTTGTTATATTTGAATCCAAGTCTAAAACTCATTCATTATCTTCAAGAATTATTTATTGATGGTCCGGCGACAAATGAAATTCTGAAGAAGAAAATTGAATGACTTCGACATTTTACTAATAATAATTTATCACTATTGAAAGTGTTACTTCCAACTACTTTATATTATCATCTCAATTGTTATTAACAGTTGATAGGACTTCGCTTTCACTCTTTGTATAGTCCACTATTAACTATAAAAACATATTTTGCAGTTAAAAAACTTGATAAACAATGCTTTTGCAACTTGAGTCATTTCCAGGAATAATGAAAGCATTACTTTTATGATTGATTATTACGTATATCTTTGCTGTTGCAAATGCCGTCGTTCAGATTTTTGTTTTTTTAGAGTTTGATATCGATGTAGCGATTTGTTTTTGTCGGAAAAAAAGTTGAGCATAGCCAGGGGTATCGGTTTATCGTCCTACGGAGAAATATGCTGATGGAGTTGAAATCGTTCATATTTTTTTTTACTAGTTTCTTCAGTCATCGTATGTTTTTGACTATGAATGAACAAGAAAAGCACACGAATATATACTTAAATATATCGATTATCTACAATGAAAACAAATTAAATCATATGTATACATAGTCGGCCAATTGCTATCGTCTACTGTTCGGTTTTTTTCAAAAGTTAACTTAATAGCAATTATACAACTCGTCCCAGCATTCATTGAAAATTCTTATTTGTGTTAATTTCATTGAAGATAAACACAGTTTGATTTGATGTCACCAATCGCACTGTACTTTCTGAAAGATTCAATGAGCATCATCCTTGCCAATTTTGGCAGACATTCTACATTATGGATCAAAACGAAGAGATACCCTGTACTGTCTGCCAGATTCGGCAGACAATTTACGCAGACACGCTGAAAAGTGAGACGGCTAGTCCGCCCCATCATCCCCACATCGATAGTCATGTTTTCGATTATTAATCATTGATCGTATCATAGATAATGGCTTGATATAATGTTGACTATTATTGTATTACTTAAGACATTTTCTTTGACTTTCTAATGAAAATTCAACCTATTTTCGGATTAAATATATGTAAGATATACATTAGTTCGAGAGAGTTGTTCGTCTCTATTGTGTATCAATTATAGAGCTATACATATCCAATCTGAACTACCTTGCTGTAAGATAAACAATTAAATGATTCAAATAACATAAACTTTAGTCAATATGAAAGACTCTTCAATCAAAAATAGGTATTGTTTAAATATTATTCCATCTGATATCTCTTAATTTTAACAATTTTCTTCAGCTGATGTATGAACGATAGCAATAGTCATGCATTTTCTACTCAGTTTCTTCAGTCAAGAGACAATCATGAAGGAACAAAACAGTTTAAAAGGCTCTACAGTTACAAGAAAATTCTCTCTAGCCTACTTTTTTTGACATTTTCACTGATAAATGACAGAAATGACCGAATTTTATTTGTTTTGACGAATGTGTTAGAGCTGCATAAATTTAATCATTTCCTTGTTCGCTGATAAATAATTTTTTCCTCATGTTTTCAACAAAGACACAACAGAAAAGTTTTTCAATAATCACATTTCAAACTGCATCTGTCTAAGTGTACTATGAGTGATGAGAAAATCTCAGGTTGAATCCAAGTGAGAAATAGCGCACTTGAACACTTAAGAGTATTACTTAAAATTTTGAAAAAATAAAATCTTTGATGGCTGACTCGCTATAGTCGGCTTCCACGAGGATTTCCTTGAATATTTGAGTATACATAAATGAAGGCTCCAGTTGATCCATATTTCCGCCGGAATCACAGTCAGTCGCATTGAAAAATCTGACTGAGAAGAAATCTTGGATACGACTCTTCGTGGTCAGCTGCAGTACTTCGCAGATTGGCTAGATTGCCATATGAGCATGTTTTGTTTTGGTCCAATTTTTCGCCCACGCTTCATGTTGATGTTCGTGTCCGGAAAAGATGTAAATTGTATCTAGGTGGGGAACATCATAGTAAGTGACATTACATGTTCACTCATAGTATTCGTTACAATCAGAAAAGCCTTGACGTCGTTAACTTCTACTTGGAAATTAACACATTTATCCGCTTCGGTAAAAATATTGACGCTGTTAACAACACTAATTATTCGAGTGTGCTTTAATAAACTTGACTCTCTTGATCAATATTGCTAACCAACCATATGAGTACAAAATATTGAGCCATGCACCGTCTTGCTTGGATGGTAAGCAACGATGATGCTGTATTTGCAACAACATCAGTTATTGATGTCAAAACTGTTTGTATAGGTTTTTGCGCACTCATTGAATAAGAGTTGCTGTTTAGGCAGAAATAATCTTTTCTATTTATACCGCCGATGGCTTATTCGTTCTTTTTTATTAAATTTTTATGCAGCATGACACGTGGTGTTTTTTTATTGACACTTAACGGCAAGCGTCATCTAGTTGTAACTAAACATACACTTGTGAACAATAAACAAATGAACGATAAATAGCCAATGACATTATTTATGGTATTCTTATGCTTCCTAACCTTAGTTTGCACTTCATCTGCTAAATGACTTGAATGTTTATGCATTGTAAGCATTCACTTTGAAAGAGTATCGAAAGAAGAACATTATTCATGGTTTATTTTTGATTGATTTTCTCGAAATGACCTTTTTCTCTGCATGCTAAAAAAAAGACAAAAACATTGTTAATTCACCCACACCTACCCATAATGATTTCATGATAATACATGCTAGATTTGTTCAACATTACAAACGCTTGAAAGGTTGAACTAAGTTTGAAATAAAGCAAAATTATGCCTTAAAATCAAGTAAAAATAATATTATTTCAATTCAATTTATCTACTTTAAAAAGTTGACTTGATTTAATTATCTTAGTCAACTAAACTTTATTTTTTTATCAAGTAAATCAAGAGAACTTCAATCATTGATATTTTCAGTCACCTTTCGAACACGAAGTCATTCGAAATTAAAACTTTTTCATTGTTTCCAACTTAGTGCGAACTCTTTATCTTCACTTGTGATCCTCGAATTCAATTTGCTTTTATTCAAACTTTTTCTTCCAATCAAATCATTTCTACTACCATGAAGGTATCCATATTTTCTCTTTTAAATTATTGGATCTGCTATATACACTGTCAATGTCAAGTTTTTGCCTTTTTTTATTCATATAAATCCTCTATTCTCTCATTGATAAAGATGTAGAATTCAATATCAAGTGCACTTGTCATTCAGCATTCAAACAATATCCAAGGACATCAACAACAATCATTATCTGACATACTTGTTGATAATTTATCTTATTATGATGGCTGTTATGACAATTTTCGTGTACGTTAAACAGTATGTCATTTTTTTTTAATATTATTTTTATTTATTCTTCCACTTCAATATCATTTTAGGCTTTTAGTTTTGTAGAAGATGAAAGATATTTTTTACAGCGCAACAAATAACTATTTAGAACAATCAATATATTATTTATTGGAAATAATTTTTATTCTAATAAATGGTGAATTGTTACTCATGAAAATATTAAGCATGAAACGGTATGAAACAGATCTTTTTTTCTGGTTAATTTTATTCTATTTAAGCTTATGAACTATCAAGTCCCTTCCACTATTTAAACATATTTACTTTATCTTATAAAATACATATGTTGACAGCTCTTATACGCAACTTGAATATCAATAAACAAATTACTAATCAAAATATTAAGAAATATTTTCGAATTTCTTAATCTTGCATTAATGTAGTATTATAGTGGAAAGCCATGGAAAATTGTTAACAAACAATCCTAGAACAAACATAAAAATAATTACTAGAAATCATTTTGTTTTCGTATTGTAGAAAACATATTCAAGATATAAATAAAAATTGTAAAATTGAACAAATGCAAATGGAAAAATTGAACGTGTTTTTGAGCAAACGTCAGCTAGTTATATCGTTTTATTTTCTATTATGCTTTATAATTATAATAGATGTATGGGTGTTGTTGGAAAAAAATTATAAAAATGAATGTGAGATTGTTCAATTGGAAAAATAAATATCTTACTTGATCCATTTGTATGTATATTTGTACAATTTTGAGAAATAGATTAAGTGAAACTTCATAAAAAAAGGAGAAAAAAAGTCATTTGTATGAATTGAAATGTATTTCAGAAGTTACTAATAAATGAATACTGATGATGTTTTACATATTTAAAAATATAATTTTGACTTATAGATTTTGAATCAATATCTTTTTAGATGAGTACATATTCTGCTTATTCGTCGAATATTTTGATAGTTAAAAATTTTCCATTGTTATTCAATAATAACGATCGTCAAGAATTTTTAGAACATTTTGGTGCCGTTCGTACACGTTGTTTATCTCGATTTAAAAATATATCAAATCTTATTATTGCTGATTTTGGCTCAAACTCACAAGCTTCTCAAGCGCTTAGACGTTTACATCAACTTGAAATACTTGCTCGTCGATTAGTTGTAGAATATTGTCCATTAGAATTAGCTCATTTTGCTTTTTCTTCTTATTCACATTCACATGATGATAATGAAATTGTTTTAGTACATGGTATTTCACCAGGAATAAATCAAATTAATTATTCATTACCATCAGAAAGACTCTCATATCTTTATCCACCTATTGATGATACAATTTTAATGAATATTACTAATGCTCTTCTATCTGTGCCTTCATTTTATACTCAAGTTCTTCATCTTATGAATAAAATGTCACTTCCGTGTCCGATGATTGCTGGTAATAAAAAACTTCACAAGAGAAATTTCTTTTTATTCATTTGTTTATAATGGATTCATTTGATAGATTTGACTAGAACCTCTAGAACTTTATCAAAACTTAGTGTGCCATGTCAAACCGATGAAAGTATTTTTTCGAAAGTAATTAATATGGATACAGATGAAGATGAAAGTGAAATAGATGATGGCGAAGAAGAACAACGTGTAAAACGTCGTCATCGATCACTTTCACGAGCATCAACTCGTCAAGGAATAGTACCAACAACACAAATGAATATGACAATTGATACAGAGAAAAAGAAAAAGCCAACAATTGAACTAAAACTACCTCAAACACTTAAGTCATCACAGGTATGTTATTTCAAATAAGCAATTTTTCGAAAAAAAGCCTAATGAATCTTTCAAATAAAATAAACTTTCGATTTTAGATGGAAGTTAGTAGTTCAGTACCAACGGACATCACAATGCATGGCTTTGGTCGATTAAAACCAGTTCAATCAACTATAACGACTATTGATATCGTTAATCAAGAGCAAGAACAACTATTACCACTTCCTCTAATCCCACTTGAAGAAATAAGAAAAAATCGTTTACATGAAGATCAATTGCATCTTATTGATAATGGTCGTTTATATCGAAATTATGAACGTGGCCAATCATCTCAACGTCTTTATATAAAAAATCTTAATACAAAACATGTTGACGAACGTATACTACATTCTATCTATGATCGTTATAAACAAAATTCTTTTGACATTGATATACGTCTTATGCGTGAAGGTAAAATGAAAGGTCAAGCATTTGTAACATTTCCAAATGAAGAAATGGCTTTACAAGGATTAAATGATACAAATGGTTTTATTCTATATGAAAAACCAATGATTGTACAATTTGCTAGAACAGCAAAACCAAAAGACATTGTGTAGAGAATCATATTTGTTATATTTGTTTGTAAATTCATATAGGTTAGAAAAAACACATGAGAATTTACTTTTATTGTTATGAATTTGTATTGTTCTTTTACTTAAAAAAATAGTAAACTTATTTTTCAGACTAGAAAATGAGATGTATTAATTGGATAAATGGTCTTATTGGTGGTCTTTTGATATCATCGTGTTGTTTGATTCAATTATTTTTAAATCTATTTGGAATTGGTTGTGCTGGATTGAATACTCTTCTTTTACCTTATCGACCATTGTTTATTTCATTGACAATTATTTCATTAACTTATTCATTTTTTCGTTATCGTCCATCAAAATGGCATTTTACTGCTGTTGTCATTTTTACATTAATTCTTTCATTTTCACCTGAACTTCTTCGAATTTATAATGATCAATTTGCTAGAAATGATATTGTAGATGATCAAATTATTGTCACATATTGGAAAATAACAGGAATGCATTGTGAAGCTTGTCGTTCAGCTGTCATTCAATCATTAAGAAAACTTGATGGAGTTCTGAGTGTAAATGTTGATCTTGAAACAGGCCAAGCTAAATTGATTTCAAGTAGTAATATTAATACAAATACTGTTATTCAAGCTGTACAATCAGCTGGTTTTCAAGCTAATAAACTTGGTTGAAGCGATTGAAAAATTATATATATAAAACAAAGAACATCATAACAAAAATATTTCAAAGTAGTATTATATATTTGATTGGAAAGCGATAAGCAAACTTTGCTTGTTTGATTAAACTATGACATCGACAAATAATTATTTGACAAGCACTTGATTTTTTATTTTTATGTTATATATATTCATACGTCAATAAGAACATCCAAAGTGTCACGTTCATGTTAGATGTGATAACAACTAAACTCATGCATGTATAATATAGTGAATCTGTATTTTAACTATACAATCAAGTTTCTACACTTACAATTGTAAAACAAACGAGAAGGAGAAAAGTTTTCTTATAACTTATTTAATATAACTGAATTGACATTTATGTTGAGTGAGTTCTTTTGACGACGAACAGAAAGAGTTCGTCAAGCAATAATTGCATTACGAAAATGTATCATGTAAAAATTTCCACTTACAAATAATAATGTCAAAAATATCGAATAGTAAGTAAAACTATAGAAAGCCTAAACATATAAGAAGAATAAGAAAAAATGAAAGATTATAATTTTAGAAACAAACAACAACACTTGAAATCGAAATAACTATATTATTAATGTACAGTTTTGATCAAATCTGACTACTAGTGACCTCTTTCATTTTGATCGAAAAGTTTTCGCTGTAGTGGTTATTTGTCAAATTCTAAGTGGCATAATGAGGGTATCGTTCGGCTCGAGTCATTGTACAATGTATGATTAATACATTTCTCCAACCCACGTCTAATTTTCACTTTTGATTTTTTCATGCATGTAATAACTAACAAAGAAAACGCGATATTCATTTCTCGTTGGTATGTGTCATTCGTCGCGAAGACAGTTTGTAAAAAAAAGAACATTTTTATTTGATCGGAAACTAGTGACGCGTATTTATATGTATGATTGTATTATGAAAGCTGTTGCATTTAAAAAAGTTGAGTTATTTCGACAGCTGTTGCTTTTGATTTTTTTTTCATTTCTTCACTGATTTGTTGTGTCTCCTTTGGATATTAGCCAAGTCATTTTTAATATGTTTCAGATTATGCTATATTCGTTATTCTTTTGCTTTTTGTTATTTTAAAATATTTCAATATTTTACTGATTGGGTGATACTTAAGCACCATTCTTCGACTATTATTTTTGTTCTGTTTATCCCAAGCAATGAAATAAGTTGTGTTGATTTGAGTGTATTTTTACAATAATAGCAATGATACACCTGGTCTTAGCACGCGGTATTTTGCGACTTTTATTACTACTTTTACTTGGTGGCCATCTTCTTATAAACAAACATCATTCATGTTTGGCTCTTCGATTCACGGATGGTAAGTTGACATGTTTTTTTTTTTTTTCTACCTTAATATAAAAGCCCTAGCCTCCAGTATTGCATTATTTATCAATATGGCAATTATATTATTTCTCGTTCTTTTTTCGTTTATTTATTATTTACTCTTTCGAAAAACAAACCATATAGTGATCGTGACAACATTCATTAACATTAATATTACTTTAGAAAATAAAGTGACTTGTCATTGATGATCGAAATGTTTCCTCATCGCATAATAAAGTATTTTCTTGTTTTCTTTTATTTCTATACATAATCGTAATTCTCAATAAGCATACAAAGAAAAAGAAAAGTTAATAGAAGGTGCGAAGAAAAAAAAAGAAACACCATTAATTGGGCTTGTCAACGCGTTCTTGAATGAGATTGGAATCTAGTGGGTAGTTGAAGCCAATAAATGAAAAGAGTGACAGAAATAAAAATAGCACGCATATGCGTAAAAATTGTTCCATTGATTGACATATCCTTCAGTTTTTATCGATTAGAGGTCGAAGAAAAGTATACAATGAAAATAATCGTTCTCTTTACATACTGTATCAATATATGAATTTACGCTAAAGAAATTAAAGCATCACCATGTAAAACTAAGCGCTCCGAGCAAAAAGACACACTCTTGTATCATCATATTCAATTAAGTTTATTGCTTCTTTTTTTTCTTTTTTGTTATACGATGATGTCATCATTGATCGACTGATAATCTAATCCCATTCGTTCTTTACTATCATCATCGTTATTGTACGATGAGTATTACCCTGCTGAAGTATGAGCTTGAGTATTGGAAAATCAAGCGGCATTTTTTTTTGTCTATGACTATACTGTCTTCTATTTCTTTTCTCTGTATTCAATAGAGATGCATGGGTATTTCTTTTTCTTGTTACACAGTTTTTTTTCTATGAACGTCCTCTTCGCCCCTCAAGATGAAAACAGAGAATGAAAAAGCGATAAAGAGAAGAAAAACAGAAATTCTTTTTATAGAATAGAGTTCGAACAAAACAAGAACTCTATCACTACCGGCATACACCCATCTACACGCTGGTAATGACGATCGGGTGTTTTATATGCCTGTGAATCGACATACAGGCACGCAACGTTTATGGTCAGAACAATAGTATCGGCACAATAACTCCTATAAATTTAAATATAAATATATATATACGTATACAAAAACAAAAAAAAATTGATGAAAATGTTTGTGAATAACAATGTTGTTCTTTTATTCCTTGTTGTAATAACAACAATCGACGCTTCGCGTATATTTTATCTCCCTCTACCGAAAATACATGCGTTACATCATGAATTTAAATCATCACCAATTCTACAAGGATCAGCAATGACACCATATGAAGAGAAAGCAATCAGTGATGAATTTATACCATTATCAGCAATTGAACGTAATACATACGAGGAACAAGAAGAAAGTAAAAGTAATATTTTTATCTGTTTATATGATGGCATAGAACTTTTTTGTTGTTTAAATATAATAAATAGCAAAAAAAAAAGTTTCAAACTGTATCCTTATTTAGAATTTACTTTTGGATAACTAGATCATAGATGACTGGTTTTGCTTCCGTTCATTTTCATTATGAACCAGTTAAGTGGATCTGAAAAGAATATCTTTAGTAATAGCACTATAGGTGGTACCTCATTGAATAGTTAAAACAAGGGTTAATAAGTGAAAAATGATCTTCTACTTCATATAGTCTTCATTAGATTCCGTTTTGTATATTTTATAATTATTTATCTAGCCTAAATAAGTATACTCTTCTATGAAAACTAATATTTATTTTATTAGAACGAGACACCTTCGATTGGGAAGCATTGTTGGATAGAGAAGCAGCAGCAGCAGTAGCAGCAAGACATCGTATTGCCGTTAATGAACACTCACGTGGTATTATTTTAACTATTTTTTTTAATTACAAAATGTATCTTTTTGTTTATTTTATAGTAGATAAAAATGAATTGAATTATTTGAAATCATTGGATCGAGAAACACGAAAACCAACTAAGTTAATAATAAGCGATGATGATATGGGTGGAGCAGTTAACAAACTTTCTCAAACTAATGAAAATCGTGCGGTCGATGAACCATGGATTTTTGATACTGCTACTAGTCGAATAGAACGTTTACAATCGAAAGGAACTTTAGATGATATTGAACGAAAAAAACGACGGAATGATGCGTTATTTCTTGGTAAACTATTATTATTATACTTATATTTAAATAGAATTTAAGTCATTTTGAGCAATTAAATAAGATTATATTTATTCTATACTTCTTTTTTTCATCAGATGAAGAGTATTATATATAAAGATTATTTTTCAGAAGGATACAATTTCTATTAAAAGGAACTTAAAAACTATAAATGTAGGTCAAATGAAGCACCACATTTGCATATTTATATTTAATTTCATCAAAAAAGAAAAACAAATTCTTTTAGAAACGAATATGATAATCGAATTAGCATAACAATTTTCTTAACACAAGATAAATCTTTAACTTGATAGTTTTACTCGATGAATTATACAATTGTAACATATGATTTTTTCAGAATCTAGAAATTCATTGTCTCTTTTGATTTTTAACTTCTTTATTTTTTATAGTAATAGTCGCTACGAGCAGTATGGTTGGTGTTTTGGGTCTTGTTGCAGCGGCTGTTTTCTGGTTCATGTAAGTATTTAATTTTAATTTACAAACAAACAAACTTTACGTTTATTGACATATCTCCGAGTTTTAAGATTTTACATTTTTATTGAGAAAAAAACAATTATTACGTTGTCTAGCATACTCATCTTTTGTATTATTTGATTCATTTTCAGAAAATTAAGTAATTTATATCTGAGAATGCGATTATGACCTAGAGAAGATTATGAATAAACGACAGTTATTAACGTTAAAAATAACTGCATATTTTTTTCTATTTCTTTTTGTTCTAAAAAAATCTCTATAAAAAAGAAATCTCCATTGCTTTTCTTATCTCAGCAACATGAGCTCTAGAAAAACTACACCTTAATTCATGTCAATACGGGCAATTAAGAGTATATTTTAATCATCTTTTTCTTTCACAATACAAAATTTCAGTCGTTGTCTATGTTTGATCTTTTATATGTCATGATTTAAAAAAAACTTAATTGATTATACTTCTTTTTTTTCGAGCGAACATGACATTTCTTATACTTGTAAATTATTTATTAGACAATAACACATAGTACAAAAGAGAATTATTTTTAAGAGCCAAGAAACAAAGACAAGTGTCTATTTCCTTTTTTAATGATTATGAACATTTTGCAGATGAAAATTGAATTTATGATGTAGGAGAAATATCATGTAAATATGACTTTCTTTAAGAATGCTAAAAATGTAAACTTTTTACAATATGAATATGATCATAGGAATTTTAATAAGTGATATTGTTTTAAAATTTTATAGTAATTTTGTCAAAGATTTTACATATATTTTCTATTCATGGAATCCTTCCTTCGGATCTAATATTAGGCATCTACATTAAATGTGGTTTATTTGATTGATAGGATTCACAGGAGAGCCCAAACAGCAATCGATGCGGAATATCCATCCTATGGAGTAACAGGACCTAGTACTACTGGTAATAAAATCTCGCCAAGTACAACTATATCGGATCGAAAACTAGCTCAAAGTGCACAAATGTTTCATTATCAACAGCAAAGACAACAGATATTGGCCCAAGAAAAGTATATTTTTTGTTTTATATGGTTTAATTTTTAATTTTTATTGTAATTCATTGTTTTGTTTTTGTAGATCTCATTTCGATGCAAAACCTGTTCATTCAGATGATTCAGATGATGAAGCACCTGGTGGTGGTGGAGATTATACTGTCTATGAATGTCCTGGTTTAGCTCCAGTACGTTAATTTCATTAGTTTTTAGTACTTCAGCTTAAAACTCACGATGAGATTGTACACTAGAAATATGTTAACCTTAACAAGATTTATGTTGAAAGGAGAAAATTCTGGGAGTCTAAAATTTTGGCTCGATCTCATAGGCATTAAGGATTTCCAGCTCAATCTTATATTGACCTCATTAACCTCTACAAAAAGTCTCATTTCTTTAATTATTTGCTACGTTCTGTAGTGTCAAGCAGTATACATTCTCATCAAGACGTATTGTTCAACCAGATGGTGTAGTGCTAGGGCGTGGATGGGTAGGTGTGGATAAGGGTGTATCAGATGTGAAGCCATAGTATGTGATCACGACGAGTGTAGATGGAGAGAGGTTCCACACTAAAACCTACATTCTCATATTGAGCCCTGGTCATCGTGTTCAGCACAACGGAATGTAACAACTAATTAATGAAATACGGTTACTTATAGAGGTTAATGAGTTCAATTTAAGCACCGAGCTGATATTCCTGTAACCCAAAATTATTCTCTATCGATATTATGTTTAAAATCTTTTATCTATATTAATGAGATAATTGTCATCTTTGTAGACGGGTGAAATGGAAGTGCGTAATCCACTATTTGCTGAACCAGATTCATCATTAATTTCACCAACATCTGCTTCGCATCCGACAACTAATAACCATTATCCTCAACCGTCAACAACGATTTCATCATCGTCACCACCCAAAGAAAAATTACTATCATAAGATGATGTATCACATTCAATATCCCACACTATCTATTTTGGTCGATCGGTTTCGCTCTGTTTATTTTTTTTCCCTTTTTTTCTTATCTTGTCAGGCAGTTTTCAGAAATGTATATGAAGAAAAGTTTCCATAATAATCTTTATTTTTCATCTATGAATAATTGAAACAGTGACTAATTTTCTTTTTTCCTGCTTTAACAAAGAAACAAATTCTAATAAAGTGAAGCATCCATCATATTAGATTAATTAACTATTTTCATAGAATCAATGTTTTCATTATCTATGATAGCATCTATGTTATGTTTTGTCCATTGATGAAGTAGATTAGTGATGGTTGATGCTGTTTTTTCACTTAGTTGAAAAGTATTCATGAGAAAAGTATAAAATTCTTCAGGAGCATCATGAATAAGAAAACGACCAAGTAAATCTTGCATTGTATGAATATTAATCAATTGTAATTGTTTGATATCATGAAGATTTACATCTTAAATGAAAGAAAAAAGAATCGGACATATATCTGTTAAATAGTACTACGACTATTCTTTTTTCCTTCTTCAAACCATCAATTTTAATGTTAGTCTGCATATAAGATTTGATCTAGAATGGCATTCAACTTTTTTTGTGTTTATCTATTAAATGTACTATTGTATTATTTTATGACAATTTGATAAGAAATCAGTCGGTTTATTTGTTAGTGTCAATTATGAAAACTCTTCAAAACTTTTATGTCCATAAAAAAAATGAAATGATCTAAACTAATATTAAGCCTTTGAAACGATAATGTATTATACTCGTTCAAAAATAAAGCACATTAAGTGATGGTAGGATTGAGAGTTGGTTCCATTTAAGGAAAGTTTTTCATTAATGTATTTTTTCTAAAACTACAAATGTGGAAACTGTATTAATAAACATTTTTACGAAACAATATTATTATAATCGCCCGTTCGAAGCCATATTAGACAATTATTTAGAGTTTTCATCGCCCGTGTGGAGGTGACAAGCGGCATGGAAGTGGCTGCACCTTAATTATAACAGTTGTTAAACTCTATTTCTAGAAATTTAAAAAAAAAATAATTTACAACAAACGCTGAAAACTTTAGAGAGTGTATTTAATCGTCAACAGACTCATTCTTTCTAACATACCGTTTGCTATATTACCTCATTTCATACTCATTTGTTAAATTTATAGATTCAATCGTAACCAATGTTGATTAAAACTTATCCTGATAACAAATCGGTCTAATTCAAAATTTAGCGAATTTTATTATGAGAAGCGTAACATATAAAATTACTTTAAACTTAAATCTTGTCCAAGTTTAAACTACAAAATAAGTTAAGACGGAAACAAACACTCTCTCAGCATATATATGCCGGGTTGCATCTGGCCTAATTAAATATTCTTTCATGATATTTTCAACTTTATGTTGTTGTTCTTCGGTAAGTGTTTAGAAATTAAGCACTATTTTTTAAAAAATATCATAGAACAGCAAATATGAGGAAAATTGACGGAACAAATGTTTTCAATTATTGATAGGTGCGGTCACTCCGCAGTCATCAAGTAAGGAGGACGCAGAGTGGTTGTGCCGCTGTTCATGAGGGCTTCAGATGGTAGCCACCTCTAACTTATGTTTTAAGCGCAGTTCACATCTCTTCAATGATCTGATGACAGAAACTTTGTCCAGAAGTTTTATCCTATTTAACAAAATATCTATTATTTATTGGATCTGATAGCATTAACAGAAATTTCGAAGGATTCATCTATCGTTTGCAGTATAAGTAAAATCATCGATCAACATAACCCATAATTTCTATATCCCAAATACGAAAGTGTGCAATGAAAAAAATCCATAAACTTTCAGAAAATATTGATTTTGTACATACATCCTATTCATTGATACCATTACACAGACTTATATTTGATTAGAAAAGTTTTATAGAACAAAAATATTTGTTTTGATATACCGCTATGTATAGTGAATTTTTTCTTCTTTCTATGGTTCTTTCTATTGAACTGAAACAATACTGTACTTGGTAATTCATCAATACTTCGATTGCATAAATGAGCATAATGAAAATTGTCTTCTGTCAATGATTCAAAATGTAAATGATGACTTTTATTTTGATTCTCATTAGTAATTGATTTCAACTGTGATATTGTCGGTGTTTGGCATTTAGTATTGGTAAGATTTAACGAGAGTAAAGCATCTGTAGATAATTGTTCTTTGTTTTTTGTTTTTTCAATTGCAGTAGACTTCATATAGATATCTGTCATGGTTTGTTTTCGTTTTTGTAGAATATTATTAACAGAGACAAGTGCAGCACACATATTATTTAAATGATCCATATTTTTAACTAATACAAATTTCAAATCTATTCTTTAATATGAAATAAAACGACGGATACGAAAAAAAAAATGTTCACACACACACAGAGTACGCGCGCGTTTCATAGATAATTTGTTTTAATTAGTTGGGCGACGTGGTTTAGCACAGAAACCAGCTGTGTGATTATTGCACAAGTTTTCATAGCAGCATAGATAATATTTTGCATCGCATTTGAGACGTTTGTCAAAGATTTCACCAAATCCGAAACCACCACGAGCGACAGCAACACCTGTTTTTGGATCGAATTTCTGTTAAATATACAACAAACAAATAATAATAATTCGATAGTAAAAGAGAAAGAACAAGAAATTTATCTTGCTATTTTTTTTACATACCGTATAACAATATAAATTCTTGGCACCAAATGCGCCTGAAGTACGAATTTCGCTTCCATCAAGTTGTTCAGGTCTGCAATTTTCGGCACCTTTACATTGATAGCATGCTTTTACTTCTTTCTCTGCTGTTATTTTTTCTATAAAAGGAAAGAAATTCTTCTTTTTTCTTGGAAATAAAGAAACAATATAATGAATGATTACCTGATGGTGGACAAGGTGCTTTCATGTGCTTGTTGCAAAATGGTGTTCTGCAGCATGTATGAAATCGATCACGACATTTGACGTTTTTGTCAAATGTCTCACCAAGTCCATATGCATCCCGTTTAATGACGGCACCTGATTCATTGAATTTCTTTACAAATAAAAACAAAGGAAAATGAATTAATAGTTCTAAGTTGCCATTTTTTGTCGCATATAGATAATTCAAAAACATTCTTGACTAATTCAATCAACAATAAATAGGAAAGAAATGAAATCATGAGAATCAGTGTCCTGTTTCTGCATATGTAAAAAAAATGAATAGCGAAAAGAAGAAAGAATACTCTCCATTTCAAATACTGTATGGTATGGAGTGCTGTCCGCAAACAGATTCATTAGTTCGATATCTTCCTTAAAACTATAACTAGCTGTAGTCCCGAATAACATATTAGCCTGACTCAGAGTTCTTCATACATACTGATTAACCACATATTAAACATAAGAAACGATGTATGTCATTATGTAGTCAACGTGCTATCGAACAAGTAATCCAAAGCGAACAATTGTTTATGACTTGTTCAAGGTCATTCCATGGCTGATGATGCCAAGATACAAGCACAATACATGTGACAAGGAAGGGATGCAAGGCAACGTAACCACTTAATCATAGAGCCCAAGATGAATTTTAATATTTTTTTTGTGATATGATTTAGAAAATAGTGTTACCGTATAGCATGTTAACACAGCAGCACCAAATGCTCTTGAAGTTTTCGTAGCATATTTTTCAAACGGAACACCAGTACATTTTGTTATCTTTTCACCCCAAAATTTCCATCTGCCAGATGGGTGTAAATCGTCACATCGATAGCAAATCTTGCCTTCACTTAAATCCAATTGGACTAATGTTACTACAAATATAAAATTAAAATTTTCTAAAGAGTTTTTTATACTTGTATTTTAGCTTACTGTAGAAAATGATCGTAAGAAAAACAAGTTTAGATACCATTTTGTCGTAAACAACGCTTTTACCAGTCCACACTCGAGTTAAACACTACTGGTAATGAGAAAGAGGAATAGTTTACTGTAATAATATATTTTTTCTTTTAGGCAATGTTGATATCTGCCTACATGGGATAGACATCTAGGTTCTGGAATCAATTCTGTACCGAATATATCATATCAACATTAGGCACGCTATGATGTATGTCTTTTAGATGATGGTTGAGAAAGAAAAAGCATAATGATAGATAATATATTAGTTTTGTCGTCCACGTATCATATAACAAAATACCGAAGAGTTATTTATGCTAGTCTATATTAATCTTGTCCTTTACAGTTATCTTCACGCTGCATGAAAAAACAAATAGAAAGGACAGAAAAAATAATAATAATAATAAGTCCAAAATGCAGTTCATCATGTTAATTGAAATGACAAATAACTCTTGCAACGAATAAAAATGTATAGTACTTAAAAACTATAAATAGAATATGATCTATATTCTAAAAAGAGCAGCATATTAACGAATCTGTGTCCTAGAAAAGAACTTTTGAGGTTTCGCACGGACTTATCGAACCTAAAAAAAGTTCACAAATTGTGAAATCGTTTTTAGGTTTAATAGGTCCGTACGAAATATCAAATGTTCTTTTTACAGATACAGATTCGGTAATATACATTTTGTTTACAGTGTAGACATTAATGAAATTCTATACAATAAACAACAGACACTAAAAGATCAGCATCATCGATAAGGCTGTAGTGTTTGAGTTTTCATTAAACTTCTCCTAGAAACAAGCGAAATATTTAATATAAAATTTGTGAATTTTAATTAAATCAGTTCTTCCATGAAAAAAAAATCTGCGTTTGAACGTATTTTTTTGTCACTAAAACCGCAAGCAAGTTGTTCGCGAATGCATTTTTTTTCCTGCAAAAATTTGCTTCTATCCGTTTATCCGACTGTTATCCTTACAAAGCTTTAGGTGTAAGGATATATAAATAAAGGCACCGATATATATATATACATATACTTATACCATTATTCTTAAATCTTTACCTCTAAAACCTTATATCTACATCTGTACTTCGATACTCTTATATCTATACCATTATCCTTATAGTTTTATCACTATACTCTTATACCTATGTCTTTACCTCTGAAGTCTTATATCTATATGCTTACGTGTATACTCTTATATCCATATTCTTATACCTATACATTGATACTTGTATTCGTATGTTTATGTCACTATAGTTATATTCTTAGATCTATACTCTATTAGATGAATTTCATATAAATTCGTGCTTTGTTTTTTCTAATAATAATTTTATTTTTTATTCGATCAAACTCAATATTTCTACGAAACAAATATATATGTATCATTTATCTCTATGGATGCCATCTACCAGATAATTTAGGATATTGTAAAAGAATGACTAAGATCCATTAAAAGATATTTTTAACCAATAATCATAAAAACACAAGAACCTTTTTGAAAAAAAAAATGATCTCACAAACATACTGTGCATGTCTCTGTTTAGTTTGACTGAACTTCATTGTGACAGTGTAACTTCATCAACAATTAGACATAAGGGACACAAAAGGAGGAGAAATGGATACATGCTTTTACAATATATTAAGTTCGTTGTTTAAGAAATAGAAGGAAAGCAAATATGTGAAAAAACGAAAAAAGAAGACAATAAGAATGAAAGGTCATGATTATTATCTGTATTGCTTGACAAATGTGTTTGAGGAGAACGAAAGAAACTATGTATGTTAATTTGTATTATTCGTTGAATAAATGCTCTACATATTCGAGCTTTTAGAAACATTTTCACTTTAATCACCACGCTCTCATCTTCACAAAGTGCTGTGTGTTTAAAACACTAATCAGTGTGAAGATGTGATTAAAGTAAAAATGAACCAATGAGTTGTTATCCTGATATGATCTTATCTATAGCTTTTCAAACTTGATCAAGAATTCTTTTTTAGTAAGTTAAACTTGTCCTAATTGATTCGCACTTGTCTTTTTTTGTTAACCAACTAGTTCTCTGTTTTGTAATACTAAAACTGCAAAATGTTTGTTTAAGAGCGGTAGCAGACTTCACTTCATAAAGCGGCAGTTTTACTCTGAGTATAAATGTGAATAATCATTTAGCTTGTTTGTAAAAAAGATGCGTTGCTTGTGACTATGTTTAAACGCAAAAAAATAGCGTTTTCTTTGTAAAAGTTTGCGTTGAAACGTTGTTTTCTACAAAACGTTTTTTCATGGAAGCCGTATGATCTAAATATATGTGTGAGATGTTGAAAGAAGTAAATAATTTCTATTGATTTGTATGACAATATGTTGTTTTTGAATAAACAAACGAGTAATGTATATCACCAAAATATAAGTAAATCTTAGAAACAAAACCTTATCTTGATAAGATATTAGTCGTCTACAATAAACAAGTATTCACCGATAACAAAAATCTACTACAAATTTGAGTAATATTTCGTGGTGTTAATCATCCTATTATATTTTAAAAAGTACGTTGTGTGGTAGTAAAATGATCTGACTAAAGAAAATGACCAGGATGAAGATATTAGATTTGATTGATGATTAGTCTCGTTTTTAATTCTGTATCGAATGCAATAAATTATTTCATTTATATTGTACATGTATTCAAGTTTAATGTGAGACGATTAATTTTTTCATTAACTCATGATGTTATTTTATTCTGTGAATAGGATCAAAAATAAAAATATTCAAAAAATTACCAACATATCAATCGTAACGAGTGATGAAATCTGTTAAAATTTTCTTAATCGATACATATGTTTGACTGATTTGTTTAGTTAAATATCAACAATAATGAAAGAGTTTGTCCATTGAGAAAAAAGAGGATCGTAGTCTTCAAAAAAAAAACAAATACTATTTTCAATGGGACTAGTTGCGACACTTTTCGCACGTTGTTCATGAGTACTATTTGATCAGATGTAAAAATCAAATATAGAAATGACATACAAATCAGAGACCGTCACAGGGCATTTACAGGTTAGAATAATACTTCTAAACTGAGTATGTCTATTGCAAGATTTTAAGCTTCGATAAAACAATGATATTCTCAGATGCTTTTAGTTACTAAATCCGATGGAATACCAGGTTTTTCACTAGAAAAAAGAAACTTTTATTAGCAAAAAAGTAATTGTAGTTGCAAAAAAATGTTTTTTTTTTATGAGGGTTACATTTTCTTTACTTTATGAAATAAATATAACTACAATCTCTATATTTATAAAATAAACACCAGTAATTTCTTTAAATTTTTTAAAATAAAGATTAAAAAATTTTTTATCTTTCAAAAATAAAAAGAAACTATTATTTAAAAAATGAAGATAAATGAAATCTTCATATTTACAAAATAAAAATATAGATTTTTTCTTATTTACCTTTATATAAAGCAAAGATACAATAAATAATGAAGAAACCTTTTCTATGAGAATCTAATCTTTAATTTTTCATCAAGTAGCTCAAAAAAAGGTACGACACCATAGATGGAAATGAAATATACAGAAAATTGTTTTGCATATATATTCTTTTTTTCTTGTATCCGTTTGACTTTCTAATGATATAACATGTCGAAGTGATATTCATGGCAAGAAAGAATATTGATTAAAATATCCAGTTGTTATACTATAGGTATTTCTCTATCTATCTATGACAGAACAAATCTTTCTGTATTCTTTATTTTTGAAAATAAAGAATTCTTCTATCTTAATTTTTCAATAATAAAGATTTATTTTTTTATTTTTATTTCTTTCGCAAATGCAAAGAATTTCATTATTTTAATTTTAAAAAGATAGATATTTTATTTATACTTATTCTTTACTATAATAAAAAATAAAGTAAGGCATCCATTTGTTACTGAAAAAACAAGTTTTTGTGTGCTGAATTTTATAAAGTCAGCAGAATTTCCGACACAAAACTTTTGAGAACTCATGGTCTTCTGCTATGTTTTGTGAATTTTTTTTGTGCGTGATCTTCTAATATAATATGATCTTCTATTCTTGATCCGTGTTTGATAAAAATCGACCATCTTTTGATTTAGTCGATTAAAATTGGGTCTTCCGAATGAAAGGCAACTTTTTATTTGATTTTCTTCCTTGCAGTTTTTTCTTTGTTCATAAACTTTTTGAGGAAGCAGTCATTTCATATTGAGATTTCTTAAGACTCGTAGCAGAAAAAAGACTCGATTACATTTCTAATCAACTTCGTTTTATAAGCAAGACTTAATTCATTCAAAATTATTTTTGAAAAGACAATTGAATGAAATAATTAGATTAAAATTGAATAAAAACATTGCCATTTTAATCGGTTTTTAATCAAAAAAAACTAAACTAGAATCAGACTTTTTTCATGTCTTTGGCACAGGGCAAAAATTTTTACCCGATCCTGCCCTGTGACGGTCTCTGATACAAATTATTATCAGTCGAACTTTTAGTGACAGTACCAGTAGATGCTGATGATCGGTGACAATTATTGGAATAAATCGTATATGATACTAAAAATCCTATAATAGTCTGTGCTATTGTGCTTGACTTTGCAATTCCAGAAGCTTATAGAATTTGATGATTCTTCTCGAGGGCTGCTGCTATCTCTCTTGACCTATACGCTCCATTTGAGACTTGCACTGCAAAAAATCACAATTTTTGCATTTCTTTAAAAAACAATTCCATTGCCAAAGAGTTAAAAAGAACAAATAATTGAGTAAAACGACCTTTTTTTTTCAAGGTTTTAATGTAATATTTAATGTAATATTAAATGTAAAACGTTGGTATTGCCACTTACCTGACCTTAGTTAATTGGAATTAACAATTTCATTTCATACGTAACTTGATATGTTCAGAAAGTAACTAAGGAAATATCACATTCTCAAATCTAAAGACCACTTATACTCAAATAATGATATTTCTCTCTCACTAATATTACTATAATAGTTCTTGTTTCCTTCTTATTCTCTGACAATTTTTGTTTCCCGTGTTCATCTTTCTCCTTCTCTCTCCTACATCACTTTGTTTTTTTTTCATGAGATAGTAACATTCTATGGATATGAAATAGCTCAATAGAATTATTTGTCACAAATTCTGGTTCTCTGAATAAATTCACATGTGTGGATAAGTAAGAACTTAGCTAATTCTGGTGACCAAGTAGGAACTTTTATTTAGCGTTTTTTTTCCAACATAAGATATATCAAACATAGGTCTATAACAGTTCATAGTTCTATGAGTTAGTTCATTTTCTGGAACTGGATCCAATCACTAGTTCATTTCTTTTTGTGTATTATTTTCGGAGACCAGCTTTTTTTTGAAAGAACTGAAACTGGTGACGAGTTCTTTTGTTTTGATTGTTGGAACAACTATTGAATATGATCAATAGATTAGCGCTGCCGATAGAACTAGTTCATTTGAAAGGAGCTGGTTGCTGGAATGAATTCTCCGAAAAAAGAAAGGGTCACTGGATCTAATTCTCAATAAAAGAACTGGTCACCAGAATCAGTTCTGAAAAGAAATGAACTAGTGATTGAAACCAATTCTCGTAAATGAACTAATTCATAGAACTATGAACTGTTATAGACCTATGTTTGTTATATCTTACGTTGAAACAAAAAAACTAAATAAAAGTTTCTACTTGGTCCACCAGGACTGACTAGGTGGTTACTTATCCACAAATGTGAATTTATTCAGAGATTGATTCAGGAAACCAGAATTTGTGGCGCATGATAAATGACCAGCTCAATAAACATCTTTATCAAGGATTGTGGTAAAGTAACTCCTTTAGTTTGTCTATACACTCTCAAAAGTTTGAATATTGACAATAATTATTCGAAGTTTAACATTTATGCAGCGGAGTTTTTGCGTTATATTCGAATTAATTTAAAAACTTGATCACATACAAATGCAGTCCACAACATTTTTTTTTTACAGTCAATACAAACTTATGCTTTAAAAGCATAGGCCCCATATATAATCACAAAATTTAACAAAAGCAGTAAAATCCCTGTTAGTTTTTGTTCAACAAAATACGATCAGTCAGAATTGTTTTCTACTCTGAAAAATTTCCGTTTTATCGATTAAATCGATTGTAACTTTGCTGCAAATATGAATGAAATGGTTTGTTCTAGCAGAATCTTCATATTAAGTTTTCATTGTATGACGTGTGTGGTCGATTCGTGTTTTTTGAAACTGCACTGAATCTAGTTAAAAGCTCTCAAAACTTAATATCACTTCATAAAGATATGAGTCATGAACTGCGTTCATGCGGAAACTTTTTATACTTAATGACATTACAAATGAATATGATTGCAGTAGCTATATATACTCAACTTTTGAGATGGTTAAAAACGATTTCATAATTTGACATAGACTGTGGCAATTCTATTGCTCACTTGTAATTTACTTCTGTATATATCTCTAGAAATCAATCTTTGCAACGACTAAAGAACTATATAAAGCATCGAAAAAAAAAGCAGAAAGTCCATAGAACAACGTAAAAAAAGAAAGAGCAGAAAGAAAGAAAAATAATCCAGCTTATTAAGACAAGAAAGCGAAAATCCGATACATAAACCTGATCATAGAGAGAATGAAAACAAGCGAAGCGTATCGTGATAAAGAAAAATTTAATGGTCACAAACAAATAGACACAGAGCGTGATAAAGCTGGCTCTACACAAAACTTGTTTCTTTGAAAATGATTGTTACTTTTTTTTTAAAGCAAATTTTCCTGTTTACACAATTTACAACGATTAATACGTGTCTCAATCGTTTAACTGAGATGTCATATGTTTTTGTAGACTTCTATTGATTTATATAAGTTAGTGTTCATCAAATTCAATGCTATACGCAGAGTATTTTACATCAATAAAAAGAATTGTGTGTCCTATTTCTATTGAAATTTCAATGTTTTTCCTCGTATAACGTCATAGAAATAAGTGTAATAAACTTCTTTGAATGCATTATAAAAGATTATTATTCTCAGTTACATATTATCTCTAAAGGATTTATTGTCATAGTATCGCAAGTATAAACTACCACCGAAAGAATCAAGTTCACATGTATTTTCAACAATACAAACTACTCAATTATTTGTACCAACAAACAGTTAATTCACAAATCTGAGAGAAATAAAATTTTCTATGTTTTCACAGTTCTTAGTTACATTTATTTTACATGTACATCTTCTCCAGCTGTGAAATATGCATTGAGAAACACATATATGTAAGGTATGTTGTTACAAATTCAAATTTCAATACTATTCACATGAGAAATGATTATTGTATTCTTTATTTTCTCTCGTCACAGTTGAGAAAATATCAATACTCTAGGTTTCATGTAAACAAGAAAGTTTTGTTTAATAGGTGCAGTTAACATTTTTGTAGAGTAACACATTCTGTATCAAATCAATATGAAGTCAGACAATAGGTTATTATGATATTTTCAAACACATTGGAATTAATGACATATGAAGTGCAAACATGTTTCAAACAATTTATATTAAAGCAAAAAATCAAACAGTAGAAGCAATGTACATGGATGACATCATTAATGTTGTCTACTAATAATTTTATCCGTTCTTGCGACATAGCATTTATAGTAAATATACGTAGAACCATTTCTCATTTTCCTCAAATCAAATCTATTTCATCTCTGCCGTGACTGATTCGTATGTTTAATGTTATTTGTTGACGGCTTTAATTTCGTTTTAGTTCAAAACAAGGAACAATACAAAGATATGTACGAATTTATCATATTACTTTTTCAATCCATAGAACGTGAAAACAAATATATCAAATAAGTTCTTTTCATATTGTTTTTCTTTCAGTAGAATAAACATGAGCACGATTACAAATATCTCGAGGATTAAATACCCGTATTGTTATACCTCTAAACATGCACAATATAATCGACTACGAATGATAAAAATATTTTAGTATCAGATATCATATGTACGCAGTTTGTTTGCAAAGATCAAATATTGTAAATATCGTATTTTCTAATTTATCAAACTTAACGATAATTTCATTCATTCATTCAACAGAAATTTTTTGAATTCAATGACAATGCTGTTTTTCGTGATCGTCTTTAGTGTATTGACTGTGTGTACTATGAAGAGGTCATCATTTGATAATACTGTTCGACTTTATGACTCATTTGCTGAAATTCGTGAAGTATACAATGGACCAATTCGTTTTCGACAGGCCGATTGGAATAATATCAAACATGAAAGTATTATTCTACAAACAGCATCTGAAAATAACAATACTACAATATTTTTCGAACGTCGAATTGTTCGAATCAATGTTAACATGACAGGTTTGTAATTATAGACAATTATGAATATGTTTTTTTTTCCTATGAATTACTTATTTCCAGGCAAAAAAATTTTCATACGAAAATATTCAGAACGAAAAGATCCTATACCTTTTGAATTAATTAAACAAGATAATGAATATTCAATTGTACGTGAAACAGAAACAGGACATTATTTTCGTATTCAATCTGATCTTATTGAATATTCTTATGAACCTCAATTAGATCCAATCTATGAAGTTTCTTTTTATCCATTACCAATAAATCTTTCTTTAATTATCACTTATATTGTCAATAGTCTTCGATGGAATGTTCGTTATACATTGCAAACATTTGCTGATGGTCAAACACAATTTCAAATTCTAGCTGATATTATTAATTCAAGTCCATTAATTTATTATTTTAATTTAACACATTTGATGGCAGGTGATATTAATCTTGCATTTGGAAATAGTAAAAGTTCTTCATTAATTGCTACAACTATTTCATCAAAAAATAATATTGATTATAGTGGTATTCATTTATTTTCTCTTATTAATAAATCATTAACAATTGAACCTTATTCTATTTTAACTTTACCAATTCTTTTAGCAAATATTCAAATAAAAGTTTGTTTTACTTATAATCTTATTTTAACTATTCCACTACCAATAACAAATAGTATTACATCGATAATATCTGGTAAACATAAATTTCAACGTCTTTATCAATTATCAAATAGTTCTTCATTTCTACCAACTGGTCAACTTCTTGTTTATGATTCAACATTAAATGTACTTACAGGTGAATGTCATTTACCAACATTAGCTGAATCAGAAAAATATGAATTTGAATTAGGACAAGATCCTGATATTATGTTTGTATACAATCGCACATTAACAATTAATCGAACAACAAATTCATCATTAACAACAACTAATATTTTAATACAAAATTATAAACAACGAAAAGTTAATGTTCGATTTAAATCTATGTGTCAATTGTCAATGATATGTTTATTTTATGATAGTAAAGCACGTTCACTTGGATCACGTTTACGTTATGATCTTATTCTTGAAGCTAAATCTGAAGTAGCATTTACATTTACTACTGTCAGATTATCCTGAAAAAAAAACAAAAGAAAAAAGAAAAAAAAACTTTAACGTATTATTATTATTATTATTATAACTTATCACAAAAACTGATTGTAATTATATATTGTGTTTTTATTAGCGAAAAACAAGAAAAAGATGCAAAAATAGCTCAATACATGATATCGTCAGAAAAATATATGAAAAAAACGATTCATTTGTACAGAGAGAGAAACGAAAAGAAAAGGTATCACCATAAAAAGCACAATAACAGTGCTCTTCTAAAAAAACGTGTGTAGCCATAGTCAATTATGAATAGCCTTCATATACAAATCTTAGGTAGTAAAAAAAAAAAGGAAAGAGGATAAATGGACGGGTAATGCAAATAAAATGAAAAAAAACCAGATACAGGTATCTGCGCATCTATCTCCTCCTATCGGTAGACGATAGAGAGAGAGAGAGAGAGAGAGAGAGAAAAGAGAGCGAAATACGGCAGACTGTATAAAACGAGCCAAATATATTCATTATTATCACGAGGGAATATAAAACGTCAGAAAAGTATACTATTTATCAAAAGTAAAACATTATAATATATAAGGTTATCTCTGAAGATTAATTTAATGGACAACAATAGTAGCACTACTTCGACAGCATCAAATGAAAATGAATGTTTCCTAACTGACGAGCAAATTAAGCAGTCCTACAATTTAACACTTCATATCGTGTCTGTATTTGTATTATTAATTATATCATTTCTTGGTGCTTCTTTTTCGGTTGCATCAACACGAGTTAAATTTTTACGGGTTAATCCAATTATCATCAATACAGGAAAATTCTTTGGCAGCGGGTAAGTTTTAAAAAAATAATTTTTACAAATTTTTTAGTTTCTTATTACATTTTATCATCTTAGAGTTGTATTAGCAACAGGTTTTATTCATATATTACCCGATGCAATGGAAACATTGACTGATCCTTGTTTACCTGATACTTGGAATGTATATGGTGCTTATGCCGGTCTTTTTGCTATGTTAGCGGTTCTTGGTATGCAATTAATTGAGTTCTTAGCTCATCAACGGTTTCGTTCAACAAAACATGGACATGCTCATATAACAACGAAAGATAGTATCAATGAATTAACGAAACAAGAAAGTGAAGATAATGATGCAACTGTCGAATCTACCGATATCAAACAAATTCCTAATGAAATTGTTGAATCTGTATCTACGGAACATAAAAATGATAAGATTAAAAAGCCTCGAAAGAAAAATCATGTGCATGATAAAATTGAAAATATAAAACAAACCGATAATGAAACAGAAGAACTGGAAAAAGTAGTACACGTTGAATATATTGGAAAACCTAAAAAGAAGACAGAAACACATGATCACAATGACGAATCTATAAACATGAAAAAAGTCCCCAGTAAAACTGAAGTATCAGACATTATGAATCAAAATAGTACCATAGTTATTGAAATACCACCTATTGAAGCTAACTTTTCATCGACTGATCATTGTGAATCATCGGGACATTGTCATGGTGCAATTTTTCAAGATGATGGTGAACAAAATAAAATAAGTGCTTATTTACTTGAATTTGGTATAGCTCTTCATTCAGTTCTTATTGGATTAACATTGGGTACGGCAACTGAATCGTTCGTTGCTCTATTTATTGCACTTAGTTTTCATCAATTTTTTGAAGCAATTGCTCTTGGTGCACAAATTGCTCGTTCAAACAGAATCTCCATTAAATCAGCTATTTTTATGGTTATTTTTTTTTCGTTTACAACACCTGTTGGTATTGCTATTGGCATTGGTATTCATTCTGGTACATACAATCCAAAATCAGTTACTTCATTACTTGTTACTGGTACCTTAGATTCATTATCAGCTGGAATTCTTATTTATGTAGCTCTTGTTAATTTAATTACAGCTGACATGGGTCCTCATGCACTTGAATTTCATTCATTAAGTAAACGATTAAAATTCTTATATTTTGCAGCATTATATCTAGGTGTTGCAGCTATGGCTGTTATTGGTCGATGGGCTTAAAAATGTACATGTAATTTATAAGATTTTCGATTTTTTTTAATAATCTACTCTAATGAGAAGTTTTTTAGTTTGTTATTTTGGTTTGTTTATGTTTTTGCTATTATTTATATTTCAATACTGTTAAATATATGAATTTTCTAATCAAGATTTATTTTATTTTAAAAAAAAGAAAAAGAAATTATAAAAGGTTAAAGATTAATGTTTTCGATTGTTTTTTAAGGTCGTAATTGTTTTCCAATAAGATGCATTTCATCAGCTTGAATTAATTGTGGTATTATATGTGTTTTCAAAGATTTTCTTTCAGTATTAATATTTACATTTTCGTTTATTTCTTCTAAACCATTTCTTAATATTCGAAATGGTATTGTATAACCAGGTGATTCAATTGATTTACCAACAATAAGTTGTCGACGTGTATCACCTTGATATGATATAGCAAGACGAACATTTACAGAATATGACCAAGCTTTACCAAGAGCAACACTCATATAAAAATCATTTCCTGTATTTTTATTAGTAGTTAATGATAAATTTTTATCAACTTTTTCTGTTAAAACATTTGAACGACGTTTTGTTGTAACTTGATTCGTTACTAAAGAAAAAAAAATTATGAATCAATATGTAAAACTAAGCTGTTATCGCAATCCTTATGGAATTAAAATGTGAAACATGATGTAGTTGCTGTTGTTAATTAAAGGAAGATTGTTTTATTCGATCTATTTTGATACGCATTGCTTCATCATCCTCTTTAGAAATGCAATAAGGAAGGATTTCATTTATTAGAACGAGATAGTATTGAAATACGATCTGTCATGACTCATGGCTAAGGATGTCTATAGGGACGGCAGAGGTACAAATTTCTGCGTCTATACTTCTACACTTCTTTTAAATAATGTTTAAAAAAAACATTGGGACTTCATTTTTATTTAAGGTTACCTAAAACAAGAAGATTATATCTTGTAGCAAGTCGTTTAGCACAATCAGTAAATAATAATAGAATATTATCTCGATCATAACCCATAGTAGACATTCTTAATGGAGCAGCAATTGAATCAATAATTAATAGAATAGGACATTGATCTATTGTATTATTTTTAAATTCATCTTCTAATTCATTTTCAATTTGTGTTAATATATTCATTAATGAGTCTGCATCAAATGCAGTTTCAGTACGAACAAGTTCAAGTAAGTGTTCTTGTTTACTATTAAAATCACTAATCATACTTAAAAGACGAATAGATGAAAATGTATGTTCAGTATCAATATAAATTGAATGTAAACCCATTAAACAACATTGAGCAGTAAGATGAAGACAAAATTGTGTCTTACCACTACCTATTCGTTTCAGAAGTAATTAAGACAAAGAAAAAAAGGAAATATTTAATGGTTGCATCGAAATTGTTTTGGACAAAATGTTCCTTCATTGTTCAACCGATCAAAAGAAAATCAACAGACAGAATTATACACTTAGAATCAGAATTTTATGTTCTTTCCGAATCCATGTTTAGAATTTTTATGAAGCTCATAGATCAGAAGCGATGAGGAAGTTTTTTTTAATTTCTCGACCATAAACTTCTTTCTTAGTATTGATGTCCCATCCAGCGGCGTAACCAAGGGAAAGGCAAATGAGCAATTGCTCATTTCATTTGAAGGTTTGCCCATTTAAATTACTTTTTTAGAAGTGTTTATTGTTTTTTTAATTAGATAGTAACTATATTTTTCTCTTTCGTCTAAATTACACATGTGGTCTTTGCTTGTTCGTTCTGTGAAGAATTGAAAAGAGAAGAAGAAGAAAAGAATCACTTCTTGTATTTTAACTGTAAGTTTGGGGTGAATGTAGGTTCAGTTTTATTGGGAAAACTCTAACCACATAAAGGTAGAGAAGGATGGATCAAAGAGAAGAGAAACAAGGACACAGAGCAGGAAAATACATACGAATATATATATGTGTATATATATAGAGAGAGTGATTCATATAAGAGAAAGAAAAACTTCAATGACGTAAATGTGAAAATATAAAAGAAAAAGTCAAGATGTTAAATGACTTAGTCTGTAGAGAAAATGCCCATGTGTGATGTGTACAGACACATATTGGAAGAATCTTCAACATTAACTTATGCATGTTTTTTTTTCTTGCTCACCCATATGTATGTGTATACTTTTATTATAACATATCCTCTACTATCTTCTCAGTTTAGAACCGAATTCACAATTATAAACTATATACTAAGCTATGCCCAATGAAAAACAACCCAATACGTTATTAAACTACAATTTTTCGTCCAACAAAGAAAAACGTACTAGTACTCAAATTTTCAGGGTGACTGGTGTGTGATTGTCTCCCTACCAGTACCCACACCCATACCCAATCTCATCTAATTTTTTTGTGTTTTGTTTACGTTATCAGTACTTTGTTGGGCCAAAAAAGTTTTGGTCTATCAACAAAAACCTTGCCAATTTTGCCCATCATTTTTCTTCGACACAAGCGAAGTTTACCCATTGATCTAAAAATCCTGGTTACGCCGCTGGTCCCATGTAACATACATTCTGTAGTAGAGGTTTTTGTGTAAATCATAAAAGTCGAGACAGTGCTCTCTACAAAGTTAGCTAAGAATTGAGAGTCTCGTAACTGTCAGTCAGCAACGACTGAGTTTACTTTGCCAGTCCAAAAATCAACGGATTGTGAATACGTCATTGTTGATCGATACATTTTACAGAAAACTAATGATCAGGATATCCTTTTGTAGAGAAATGGTTGCTCTTTCCATATCCTTGACGCTTTATTAACCACGAAAAACCATTCACACTTTATTTTCAGGTATTGCAAAACTTTTTGCTTATAACTTCTGACCAATAAGTCTGACAAAAATTCTGAACATCGATTCCGAAATAACATAAAAGTCTGATCCTAACCAAATATTTAATACTTTCTATTGATCTTCCTAGTCGTTCGAAAACTGAAGGAACAAGTTTGTCTAACAACACTTTTAGTGCATCCATCATTATTTATTTTATTTATTATATACCCCATGATCCACATAATTCAATAAGTAAACCACGTCGCAGACCACCATTGAGATAACGATTAAGTGTTGGTAATGTTGTTGGAATATATAATGATGATGTTTCTATTAACATATCATAGACATTTTTTGATTGTATTGATAATATTGAAAATAATTTTTCAAGAATTTCTTCAGCATTAAAAATCGATAAACGAAATTTAAATGAAAGTTCAAGTGATGTATATGCGGATAGATCTATTAGATTTTTAATACCAGCACGTTCAAAGCGTTCAAGTAGATGATTATCAACAAGATTTAATGAAGTAAAATATGAAGATGTAAATGAAATAAATGACATGAATTCTTTTGTTTTTATATCTTGCCGATTAATCGAAAAAGACAAGTTGTTTTATATGAATTTTTGTCGTATGTACGTCATATCTAGAAAATTATTCTATTCAATGAAAATAATATTGCAAATTTAACTAAACTAATAGAGAATATTTGTAGGTAATGTTTTTTTTTGCTATTATTTTGAAATTTAATTGATTCTCGAATGCTGAAGACAAATTTCTTCTTTTTGATAGAATTTTGTAGAACTCACGTATACTTTGGAAGTAGTGAGTGTAAATTTCAAATAGAACCTTCGGGGCTTCCCCTTCTCTTAATCACAGGCCTTTGTGACCGAAATCGAAGGTAACTGAGGACGTGTTTATAGTAAATTCACGTGTCAATTAATCGTTTTAACACGGGTAGCAGTCGTAGTTACGCAAGCTAAAATAAAAATTTTGTATAGCGAACAAGATTGGCTGAAATTTTAAGATCAAAGAGGGAAATAGGCAAATAAAAGATTGCAGAATTAAGGTGCTTATCTGTGCAGTACAAATAGTGAGACAATGTGTAATGTACGAAAATATATGTGAATTCCATATTTCAGCTCCAAAGGAGTTGCATTAACAAGATTTTTTTTTGAATATTTCTATTTGTAATTTTCTTTGTTGAAATATTAATATTGTTACTTTTTTTAGAGACTAATTATATCCTTAAACAACAGCTCGAAAAATTCTCCAAACAAAAGAAAAAGTCAGATACAATAATATTTTTGCCTTCATATAATGTCGAATTTTGTTAAATCAAACCGTTATAAAACAAATTCATTATTTACATATTTACTAAACTTTTTTTCGTTTTTTTTTTAATATTAAAAATATGATTAATTATCATCAAAAACAAATTAACTGTTTATCTCCTGTCACTCATTTCAGTAGAGTTGGTGTTGAGTCAACCACGGGAATAGCTTAAACAAGAGCTAATTATGATATCAATATAGTTAAATTTGAGTGAAGTCATTTCACTATGGAGATGTAGAACGCAACATTCATTTTGAATGACATAAAAAATGAGGTCTTTGTTAATATGTTTTTTTTACGGCTTTTTACAGTTATGTTGTTATTTTATCTATATAAAATTGGAAACCTACTAACTCTATATTATTATTTTCAAAAATGAGTAATCTCGACAAATGTTCTATTGTTAGCCAGCTGTACAGGCAGCTATATTCAAATTTAAATCAGGTCTTTCATTTGCAGAATCATCCTAGGATCGTTGACCTTTATTTTCTCTTAATAATACAGAATTATTGATTCTGATTTCGATTCAAAATCATTCATTCCTATTCTTGAAGTGTCGCCCAGATGGACGATAATAAAAAGAAAGCTACAAGTTTCTATCTTTTATCGATAAGAAACCATTTCAAAATGGTGATACGAATTCTTTTTGATTTAAGCATGAAGATCGTGTTAAAAATGGCCCAACAGAGGACAAAAAGTAAATTAGAAGTTTAATAGGAGAATCAATCTTAAACTTGTATTTTCCCTGAAGATTTCTTCTATATTAATTTGCTATCAATATGAATCATTTAGATTTCATCAATACAACTAATCGTTGTATTTATATATTTATATTTCTTTTGCTTGATTATATGCTGTTTTTTTTTACTATTTACTAAAATAACATTAACAACAAGTATTTATTAACGAATTGAAATCTTTAAGTGTTGTTCGTTTTAATGGTGTGCCTTTTAATGATTGTGATGTTGCTGAATCAATTCGAACTTCAACATAATCACCCGATTGTAATATTTCATTACTATTTAATAATTGTTTAGAAAATATTACTTTTGTATTATAATCATTTCTTCCAGCAACTTCATTATCTGGTGAACGTTTACTTGGTCCTTCAACAAGACATAATTGTATTTGACCTATATATGATTGATTGATTAAATGTGCATGATGTCGAAATAGTTCATGAATTTCTAAATGTCGTCGAGATTTTATATCCAATGAAATATCATCATTTAAATGATAATGTGCTTTGGTTTTTTCACGCATTGAATATGGAAATGAATATATAAAATTATATCGTACACGATTAATAACATCAAGTGTATCATGATGATCATCGTCAGTTTCACTACAAAAACCAGCAATGAAATCAGATGATAATGCTATATTAGGTATAATCGAACGAATATGTTCGACTAATGATAAATAAGATTCTTTGGTATAACCGCGACGCATTAATTCTAATATATAAATTAATATAGATTTAAGTATCAGAATGAAGAAAACAATTTAGACATACCAAGCATACGTGTACTACCACTTTGACATGGTAAATGTATTGATTTACAAATATTCGGACGATCATGCATTATCTAAAATAAGAAAAAAAAAATGATATGAAAAGAAAAATATATAAAAAAAAAGTCTTCATCTAACAAACATATAATAAATCATCGGGAAAATCTTTTGGATGTGGTGATGTAAAACGTATACGAAGTTCAGATGAAATATTTGATGCTTGATCAAGTAGAGTTGCAAAACGAATAGAACCTAAAAATTTGAAATAAGATTATTTAAATAATTATTTAATAAAAAAAAATAAAATGCCTTTTGTAGGATTTGTTTTATAATTTTCTCGAAATCCTCTTGATAATGTTTTCGTTGTATGTAATGACATATTTATTTCAGATTTATCACAATAACTATTAACATTTTGTCCAAGTAAAGTTACATCTTTTTAAAAGAATAAATGAATCAGAATAAAAAAAAACCACATATATTAATGTTTTACCTTTTATTCCAAGATCAACTAGATAACGAAGCTCATCAAGTATACTTATCATAGGTCTACAAAATGAAAACAATTTCATATTAATTTTTCAAAAAACTATCAATCAAATATATATGAAATAATCATATTATTATGGAAATTTTAGATGTTACTAATCGTTTTCATTCTATCAATACAGCTGCTGATCTAGGCTTTAGTAAATAGAGATGCTTCAGTCAATGGAGAATGATCGATGTAATCATGGCTATAAAACGTGTTGTGAGCTTCATTTTTATGTATTTTCTGCTGAGAAAAATCAAAAATTATTTCGGAAGACTGGAACGATCGTTCCAATATCCTCGTTACATGTGCCATTGAATCAATACATACTATCAATAAGCATTATTTTGAAAAATTAAGAACTAATTAGCATATCAGATGAGTCAAAATGAAAATAACATCAATTATTTTGGATATATCTCATCGCTAACAAATCACAAAACCTTGAATCACTTTTGTGAACGTGCATTGTGACAATTTCTAATATTCTTGCAGCGAAAGATCCTTATAATTATGTCGATCAATTTTTTCAATGACAAAAGGGTACGAATGTGGTTCTAGATCTTCTTTGTAATTATAGTCTCAACCACACACCATGCATCCACATCCGACACATTCTCATTCACGCTTACCAATTTGTAACAACTGCCTAGCAGTATGCCATCTTGCTGAGCAGTACATGTTAATGAAAATACATACTGCTTGACACTATGGAATATAGTAATTATATAGTTAAAGAAAACAAGCTTTTTATAGGGGCTAATCAGATCAATTTAAGGTCGAGCCGAAATTTTGGCCTCTCATAATTTTTATATTTTTGAACTTCATCTTTTTTTTTTATAAATTTTATCATGCAAAAATTCGTTTGAAATAAAAAAAAAAAAAGACATAATATTATGATTAAAACCATTTAATAGTATATATTTCATTGCCATTCTTGTAGAATATTTGACGGTAGATCTTTTAAAAACCAAATTCAACTTTATGGGATTTATCGGTATTGATATATTTGCAAAATACTCAATGTTCCAATCATTTTTACTGATTCAGTATTAATCAAATTTTTTAAACAATTGATAAAAAATTTTCTTCTGTATATTAAATATACGTATATATATATTTATTCCATGATACTAACCTACTTCGTTCTCGTCCACGTGTAAATGGTACAATACAAAATGTACACATATTATTACATCCACGCATAATTGATACAAATGCTCGTCGATTACTCGTATCAAATCGAAGTGGTGTTATATCAGCATATGTTTCTTCTAATGATAAAATTGTATTAATACCTTTTTGATCAGACATTAAAAGAGTTTGATCAAGTAAATTTGGTAAGGATCGATATGCATCTGGACCACAAACAACATCAACAATTTTTTCCCGTTCAATTAATTTTTCTTTTAAACGTTCAGCCATACAACCAAGTACACCTATTTGAAATGGTGGAGCATAGGGTGAACGTGCTCGTTTTTTATGTCCAAGTGATTGAAGTTTTTTCCAAATTTTTTGTTCAGCACCTTCACTAATTAAATAAAGGTTTCTTTGTGTTCAAATAGAAAAAAAAGAAAAATCTATACACATACCGAATACTACATGTCATTAATCTACAATAAAAATTAAATCAATAGTCATATTTCTTTTTGCATACTTACAAAACAATATCAGCATCATCTTCATTATGAACACGTTCATAACCGCCGTGTTTATCCAAAAATGTGTATGCTATATCAGTATCATTTTCATTCATTTGACAACCATATACATGAAAATATACACGACGTTTTGGATGTTTTAATGGATCAAATGGTTCATAATCATCGATATTATTTTGTGTTAGATATGGTGGAAGAGTTGGTTCATGTTGTATTTGATTAACTGTTTGTTCAATAAATGACTTTAATGAAGGACCCTGAGAAAATTTTTCACGCCAAGCAGCAACTGATGATAAATATCGATAATGAAAAAATCGTGAAAACAACAATCGATGTAACATCTACAACAAAGAAAAAAGAAAATAAAAATCACAAATACAACAAAGAAAAAAAAAATCATTTATTAATCTTTTATTGGTGATGTAGTTCGTGTTGCTAAATATGTTTTTTCAAATTTTTTCACTTGAGTTTCAAGTGAACGTGAATATGCATCTAAATGCATTATAGTCGATTCTAAATTGGACATAGCATCTTCAATTTCATTTAATTGTGTATGAGTTGATAACATTTTTGTACCTTAAAAACAAAAACAAAAAATATTTTTTATAAACAAATGAAAAATTCTAATGGAATATTTACAATTTGAATCATTCATTGTTCGAACTGAATCATTAACATGTTCTAATTTTCGACGCATTTGATTGTATTTATCCAATGCAGCAGCATTCATTTGATTCAAGCAATCATAATCACTAGCCACCACTAGAAAAATAATATTTACAATAATAAATAGCCTCTGAAATTTAGCAAATACTGATTGACTATTAGAATGAAATACATTTTCTTAGCAATTAGAATTGATCATTTCTCAATATTTTATCATAGACAGTTAATGCCTATTCAAGATTTCAAGCAGAGGTCAAATCGAAGCGAGTTTTACTGGTTCAGCTCGGTTTGTTTTCGATTTTTAATTTCAAGCAACTATTCATTGTTAGAGATGTGCAGGGTCAAATTTTTTCTTTTATTTCGAACCGGTAACTTTTTTTTCATCGACCCTAGTTCCAGTCCTGGTCTAAAGAAAACTATTCCAAAATGTAATTGTATCACATCTAAAAAAAAATCCTTCAATATTCATCTTTTGATTTATTTAGTTGACAACTAGCATTTTTTTTGAGTCATCTCTCTTGAGATATGTTCTGATTTATATGTTTTATAGGATAATTTTTTCAAACCATAGAATATTCAACTATAGCCGTTAGTTCCAGCTGGAACAACTTTTTTCTCGTAGTTCTGGCAAATCTTCACATTTTTTGCAATCTTTTCCTTTTATGGCTTATTTAATCTTGAACTTTCTGTTTTTTCCTTTGATATTTTTTCATAATAATAGATTCATTATATGTAACAAGTATATTTTAAGACAAGCTTCGTTTCTAAGCATCTCTATGTAATAGATTGCTATGTATCCAGGGATAAACTTCTTTAGTATGAGCATTAATTGTTAATTTAAATCATGTAAAAAGCAATAAGTATAACATTTCATGCCTGGGCATGCATGTTGAACAGGAGAAAAATGATATAATAAGTGTTANCCTTATCAAGGTCAAAATGGATCAATATTTATAGGATCATCAGTTTTATCCTCTAATTCATTTTATGGTTATATTGATAATATGAAATTAACAACAAGAACGAAATCAGCTAGTGAAATTCTTACTGATGCTTCATTAGTTGTTTATTTTTCATTTGATGGTTCAACATTAACACAAGATATGGGACCAAATCAATTGAATGGTACAATATCAAATGCAGCTGCAGTTAGTGGAAAAGTTGGCCAAGGTTTAGCTTTTAGTGGATCAACATCATCTTATTTTCAAGCATCTGGATTTTATCAATTGGGTCAGTCTAATAAACCATTTTCATTTTCTATGTGGATATATCCATACTCAATTGCTGGTGGTGTATTAATGCAGAAAACAATATTGCAAAGTACAAGTGGTGGTTGGTGTTATTCTCTGATGGGTCTTTCTTCTTTAGGTCAAATTGTAATGATTGTTTACAATGCTTATGTATCGTTGATTGTTGGTCCCATACTCACAGTTCGTACATGGACGCATCTTGGTTATACATATAGTACAACCAATGGTCTTCAAATGTATATCAATGGTCAATTTATTGGTACTACCGGAACCGTATCATGGTCTTCATCGGGAAGGATTGATTGGCTCAGTATTGGGTGTTATGTACCCAGTTATTGTGGACCAAGTGTAATAAGTGGTGTTCCTTATTTAGGTGCCATTGATGAATTTCATGTCTATCGACGAGAACTGAATGCTAGTGAAATATTAGCTTTAGCCAATCCATAAAATGTCATCATTGGATTGTTTTTATTAAAATAAATATTTCACATTGTTTTACAAAAGTCATCAATTAATTCTCATATTCATCGACAACATGAATCTTATGAATGATCTTTTGAAATATTTATCTGCTCAATAAGAAAAATGATCGAATGTGATAAAGAAAGAATGGGGATAGATAACTCATAGTGGCTAAATACTAAAATATACGATTTAAAAGAAAAAGAAGAAGACTGTTAATATTCATATAATAATTGATGAGAAACAACAAAAAGGTTTGTACTCATTTCACTCAATACGTTCTCGATTCGAATTCTTTTTTTAGTTTTCTATATGAAACGATATTGGTTGACCTTATTTGTTCTATTAATCGAAATCAAAGAGAATATTATTTTTTTTAATTTTATTTTATTATGTAATTTCTATAATATATAATACAATAAAAGTTGTAAGGTAACATGCAGTGATAAGCAGTTTTTTATGGGTTAGCTAGAGTGTAAACATCAGTGGCAGATAATTCTCGTCGAAATACATAAAACTCATCAATAATTCCGAAAAATGGAACACCATAGATAGGGCTTGGTGAACATCCAACAATATTATGACCGATTGTTAACCAATCAATCACGCCACTTGACGAAAAACTCATTGATCCTGTTGCAGCATATTGTATACCATTAATATACATTATCTGACCATCAGTATTACTATATGTATAAACAATATGAGTCCACTGATTAATAGATATAAATGGACCAGTAATTTGTCGACCACCTCCATTTGTATAAAAAGCAATTTGACCAGCATATGTTAATCCCATCATATCTTGACACCATGTACCACTAGTATATTGTGCTGTTGATTTATGAATCAATGTTCCACCTGTAACTGAATATGGATAAATCCATAGAGCAAATGAAAATGATTGTGACGATCGACCCAATTGATAAAATCCATATATTTGCAGATAAGATGATAATCCACTAAAAGCTAAACCTTGACCAACTTTTCCAGTAACTGCGACAGCATTTGATATTGAACCATTCATTTGATTTGGTCCCATATCTTGTGTTAATGTTGAACCATCAAATGAAAAATAAACAACTAATGAAGCATCAGTAAGAATTTCACTAGCTGATTTTGCTCTTGTTGTTAATTTCATATTATCAATATAACCATAAAATGAACTAGAAGATAAATATGATGTTCCTATATTTATTGATCCATTTTGACCTTGATAAGGGCCAGCTGATGTTTTTGTACCATCAAGAATACCTTGTAAATAAATTGATTGTGTTCGACTTGCATAATCATAAACATATGCAACATGATACCATGTATTAGTCGATACTGATGTTGAACCAACAAGATCATTTAACATAAAACCCATATACATTTTATAATTTCGAATAATTAAATAAAGACATTGACTTTGGCATGAACTACATTGACATTGAGAAAATATGGATCTATCACCTGTTAGTGTGTTACCATAAATCCATGCTTCAAAAGTAAAACTTGTATAAGATAAATTGAAAAATGGATATGTAATAGTAACAGATTGAATAGATGAATCATTTAATGCTAAATTATAACCATAACCAAAATAAGTAGTGTTTGAAAATGTTGCACCATTCACAACAGTACCATTATAAGTTCCATATAAGTCATTTGCATCATTATCAAAACTCCAATAAGCTGTATAAACTGTAGTAGCAGCAGTTGTTGTTGTTGAATTATTTGACACTAAAAGAGAATAATTATCAAATTCAATAAAGAATAGAAACAAGTATTATTCTACCTATTGGATTTCGCGTCAAAAATACACCAAGAACACTTGGTAAAATAATGATAATGAGTAAAAGTAATAGAATACCAACAGCAATAAATAAACCGTTCACCGATGTATATGAAGAAGATCTAATATTCAAGCAATAAAATAAAATAACGATATTACTAGAAGAACATTGAAGCGTACATATTATTTCCTTTCGACTCTCGATGATGAAGATCTTGTGTTCGAACCAATTCAATATCAGATGAAGAATTCTATAAATAACAACATTTGATAAGCAACATATAAAATAAAATATTTTAACGTACCACACTTCGATGCGTTGATAATCTATCACCCTGATAATCATATCCATCATCATTATTTTCGTAAACATCTCTCGGTTTTATATATACAGCTTGTGGTTGCCTAGTAGTCACAATCTTGATTGGTCTACTCATANACGTTCCATTTCTAATCTGCATGCATAAACCTATCTTATATAGTCGCACGCGATATTCTGCAAAAGTGACAAACAATTGAAAGCTTTTTTGATGAATTTTGAGACGACTTCTTTTCTTTACACACCGATGTATTTCTTTTATAATTTGTCAACTAAGTATATCTTAAAATTCCATAGAGACAAGAACTGCGTCGTAGTAATGATTCCTTCTAACTGAACTTAATCTATGAAATATTTTTGAATTCTTCGTTAAAAATTCATAGAAAATCTTTCAGTTTTTATATTCAAGGTCATTGGAAAGAGATAAAGTTATAGAATCATAAGAAGCTATGCAAATTTGAATTGTTAGTAATTAGCGAATGAAGGGATTTCATCAACTGTCAATGCTCAATAATATGCGTTGATTTCATTGACTGCTCGTTGAAAACAATTATTTGTGATGGAAGTTAGTGTACACCCAATACCGTTTCATTCTACGTTTAACCAATAAATGTCGCTGTTAGTCAGGTAAGAAGAAGTTCCATTTGTACCATATATAATCCTTTTAATGTCCATGATTAAACCGTTTGTTTGACTATATGTATAACCAAGATGCGTCAATTGATTGATTAATATAACTGAACCGATGATTAGTGAACTACATCGTGTGCTAAAAACAATTTTCTCTACATAGTTGAGACCGACTACTGGTTTACAAGGAATACTACTGGTACTATATCTTGTTTTTTGTAATATATAACCACTTAATACTGAATATGCATAAAACTATATAGTGATGAAAAGTTTTCTTTTTTGCAAGAATAAAGTGAAAAAGACTTTAATAGCTTGGAAATAATATGATAACTCACGAAAAGCTAGACCTTAACTGCCTGTTTCTGTACGGATAGCAGCATTTGATATTGAAGCACATATTATTTTTGGTCTCATATCTTGTGTTTAGGTTGAACTGTCAAATAAAAAATAAACAACTAATGAAGTGTCATCAAGGATACCAACATCTGATTCATCTTTTATAGTTATCATTGATAAGGATCAGCTAATGTTTTCTTTCCATTAAGAACACTTTGTAAATAGACTGATTGCATCCAGCTTGAATAATCATAAGCATACATATGCTACGTGATATTATACAGTGATTATCAATATTGTGATAACAGTAACATTATCTAATACTAAATTCATTATATATGTATATATATATTGTATAATTTCGAGTTCTTAAATCGAGACATCGATCAAAACAAGTGGTATATTCACACTGAGAAAATATGATTTTGTCATCTGTCAATATAGCACTACAGATTCATGTTTCAATTATGAACCATGTATAAGATAGGTTGGAAGAATAAAAACACTATACCAACATATTGATTCCTTTATCTGCGATGACATGTGATTTGTTTGGTGACGTAAAAAGCATTGAAAAAATAAGAAAACATGATCAAAACATGACTTACTGGCAAACTATTTTTTCCACCTACACTTGAAATGATTTAATGTTTTTGTACTTAATACCAACTATGAGCTGAACTAGAATCTATTTTTCTTTCGTCATCAATGGACTGAAGTTTTAAATTGATATCGATCGGTAGCATACATGGTCAATATAGCCGTCACTATTAGTTGATGGCTGTTTACGCGTGTGTACGCTGTATCAAATATTTAATATATTATTATAGAAAACTATGGTATAGTTTTGTCACAAATTATCACTGAATGGTTTTTTCACTTTCACTATTACTTTGTTGTTACTCTGCATGTATCAATTTTCATTCTTATGAGTCGAAAACAAATAATTTTCATGTGTTCATATAACATAGAATAGTAGATTGATTTGTTTCTGATTTTTCTATGGTTTTCAATAGATGTAATACTTCAAAAAGAAATTATTTTCTGATTTAACATTGAACTATATAAACAAATGATTAAATATATGCTTCTCGATGTCAACACGCACAAGATTAGTATTTTTTGCTCAGAATGATTTATTAGTTAAAACAAGGAAAAAACTGATCCAGTTCAGGAATTCATCTGGAAAGAATGATTTGAAAATAAATTATATTATCGAAATTTAAATTAACTATTGAAATAATGAACTGATTGTTTGTAGCTTGTTTTCAATATTATATTTGCATCATATATATGTGTTGATGATAATGTCATATCGATACACAAATACAGTCAGCATAACATCAAGTTCTCTCGAATCTCTGCTGATGTCAAACCATAGATATCTTTTTCTATTATAAGAAAAACTATAGATCCAATAACTGACACATCAGACATTTCTCTTATCGGTAGTGACTACTGATCAAATCGCACTCACAATCGATAAGAATCAAAATCGATCGTTGACATATATTGTCACATGTCTATATCACATACTAGAGAAATATAAATACATATGATGCTTAACTTTCCACTGACTTGTTCGCTTTACTCTCAACAGTTTTTGTTATATAGACTCAATGCCCCTAATAGCAACGAGAAAAAATTCACCTGTCTTGCTCGACTCCGTTCATGGTCATTTTATATTCGACGGAAAACATTTTTATATATGAGTAGTCCTTGGATGTTGCTCATTTGAATGGTATGTCCGCTGCCTCTCTGCATCATGCAGCGGAAGGCAAGGCGAATCAGCAGTTTACGATAATGAGTAGCGTTCGTACTTATTAAAACTATTTCTCTAATAGCAATGGTAAGCTAATTGTTATCTCTTATAACTATGCGTCCGCCGAAATTCGTATACTCCTCGACATAGCACGAAAAACGATTTCCACTTTAATAGTCTGATGGGCTGTGAAAATTTTTTACAATTGTATGTTTTTCTGTTTTGTAACATGGTAGAGAAAACACATCGATCGTAGTCTAATATGTTTTATCCACTATGGCGGCTCAAACAAAGATTTGCGCGTACTTATACAGTCTCTAATATTCTGAGTCTAGAAGAGAAAAAAACCTATGAGGTGTAAGTATTCTGCCATTCATCCACCACTAGCTCTGTCCGTTCATACCGGTACCCACACGTAGATCAACAATATCAGTTGTTTAAATAGATAAAAGATAAAAAGAAGACAGAAATGCATATAGACGTGAAAAAAGGAAATCGAAGAAAGAGAAAAGAATGCACACTTATATTAGAAAGCGTCTCTTCTGACATAACACTAAAACCAATTTGATAATTAAATGAACACTGTGCCGATATTGATGACACGCTTCGATGATTCTCCTTCTTCTTCCTTCTGTTCTTTTTCCATTGTTCTAATATATCTCTCTCCTCTCTCTCTCCTATATATACGTGTGTTATGTATGAAGTTGTTACACTCTGGATATATGAAGTAGCTAATAAATATTATTGCCAAGAGTGGTGGCAAGCTACTCCAATCCAGTTTGTCGTTACAAACACTTCTAGAAAAAGAAATACAGATCATGAATCCACTTGTTCGCAGGGTTGCAGTGCTTGCTATTTCACGCATTTCGCAAGATTCCTCATCATGTGAAGCCTTAGAAAATGTTCAAAGGCAACAATAACTAATATTTCAAAAAAAACTCCTTTTTTCTTGATTTCAGCATCATTAGTAAATTCTAGGCGAAACCATGAAAAACATAATAATACCGGCAAGCTGTATTGTTTTCGAAAGTAGACAACGAGAGCTATTCGACCATATACAAATCTCGAAATCGATTTGTTTTTTAATGAAAATTGCGATTTTTGACAGGGAAGGGTTTAAAAACAACTACGTAGTTGAGAATATCTTTTAGTTTCATCAACATTTTTTTTTTCGAATAATTTTAAACTTATACTAAGGGAGACAGTAATGACACTATCTGATATTTTGAAAACGAACGTTATACCATCAGTAGAAAGGTGTGGGTCTGAGTGCTGAGCCTCTGTACTCTCAGACCTGCTCCCACATGCAACTGGCTTAAAAGGTGGCACCACCAACTTAACAGAAATATTACCATCTCTAATTCAAACTTATATGCAGTTATTGATGAACTAAAGAAACATTATGTGTTCAACATGGCTACAATGAAACAACTTGACAACAATACGAATACACCTCTACGAACTAAAATTTTATTTTTCAAAATCAACAAATTTTTCATTTAATGAAACGATATGAAAAACATTGGTTGTCATTAGATGAATATTTTAAAAAGATTTACAAAACAATAGGTCAAAAATTACATTAACATTTTATTGTCATTATCTTATGAACTATTGAATTATATTCTTATTTGTACTATTACAATTACTTTGTCTAATACAAAATTGTATTTATTTCTCTTCATAAAATACTATTGAATAAAAAGTATCGATAAAGCAAGAAAATGAATTAATTAGTCTTATATTTTTCGATAAAACCAGACTAAACTCTAATTAACTTTTCAATTGAAAAGTCAAATAAATTTTAAACCCAATTCCGACATATATTTTCCATGAAGTATGAATCATAATTCATTTTTGTTTTCTTTCGTTTCTATCATTATTTCTCTCTTCAAAATATGTCACGAGTTTATTTCGCTATATACTTATACATATATATATATATATGTACATATTTGATTTAAATAGTTAAATCACTTTTCTATTTGTAGTAGAATCGATCTGTCCGAAGTGATCAACCATAATGTCATCATCCTTAACTTATTTTAATAAAGATACTTTTCTTGATGGTACAGGTCGAGGTAAATTATCTCGACAAGTTAAATTTACATTAAAATCAAATATGGAATCATCATGTCCACCATCATTATCCATTATTAAAGATAAAACTAATAAAAAAAAATCTCATCATACTCCTGAAATAGTTTCTATTGATGTACCACTTCCATTACCAGCTAATCTGGAATATGTTAAACCTATATTTATTCCATGTGAACAATTTCCATCTAATTATATATCTTCAACAAGTTTATCTATATTACATTGGTCAAAATATCATGGACGAAATGTTTCATTCTATTTAAAAGAAATTGGTTATTTTTCAACAGCTGATCGTTCAGATGCAAATCGTTGTCGAGAAGATTTTCGTTATTTAAAACAACTTATTTATGATATTAATGATATAAGACAATTAAAACAATTGAAAATCGAATTTGATCTTAATATTGGTTCAGCTTATTTAAATCCAACTGAACCATCAACATCACTTGACGCTTTACTTTGGTGGATTAGTAGACATAAAACAAGTTTATTAGATAATAAAGGACGGTATAGTATTTATTTGAGACTTAAAACAAAAACCATAAATTAGTTGTTTTGTTATTTAAAAGATTTACATTTGATTTTGTTGCATGGCGTGGAACAATAAGAAAAATTATGTCATCATTATTTAATAATGAAACTGATTGGCGTATTGGTGTTATTCGTTATCGTGGTGCTTATTTTTTATATGTATTTCATACAGAAACAGAATTAAATATAGAATTTGGTCAAACACCTGTTGAAAGGCGAATGTGTTATTGGGGACATAAATTTGAAGATTATCTTTGTTCAGGTATGTTATGTGAATATTAGCATAAGAATTTCTTCCAAAGAAATTTTTCTTTAAAAAAAAATTATAACAAAAAATTCTAGCTCCATTAGATCATAGGTATACTTTTGTAGAAAAAAGTATATAATAGACGATAGAGTTTGTATTAAAGTATATGTAGTGAAAAGTGAAGATTGATGAAGATCATAACGAGATTTAGTTACGTTATCTTTGAATCGTAAATTCTTGGTATATTTGTTTTTTTGTTCATACAAGTGGTAACATGATTATCAGTTATAAAGATTAATAATTGTAGATACGAATATTTCATATGATAAAACAAGTCATCGATCGTCAAGAATCTGTTGAAAAGAAATGAAATGAAATTTAAGAAAATGATTATCCTTTCTTAATTGATACATTTTTATTCATAGAATTTCTTAAAGTCTCTCAATTATAAATGTTTTCACTTATTGCGGCAATACTTCTTATACGTAAGAAGTAAATCTCCATGTTTATTATTATCAGCTGTATAGAATTTTCAGAGTTACCTTGTTTCTAACAAGACAACCACTCGAACTGAACTATGGATCTTCGCAGCCTATTGAAGATGATCTCAGTGAATGTTTGATTCGATTTTTGACTCATACAGAAAAATCAGAAAACAAAATTTCGACGTGAAATTTTGTTCATGTGTGGATCCCATGACCTCTGGAATGTACTGAAAATTTCAGTCGAAAACAATATTCTTTTGTTGAGATATCGAATTTTCAAAAATTAATCGTTTACCACAGGTATATATTATACAAAAATCGAGGTTATTTGAAAACTTAATATCTCGACGAAAACAAACATTCTTTTCAAGATATTCTAAGATCATGTCTGTCATATTAGAAACGTTCTAATATTACGTATTTTGATACTAATTGCACTTAGTAATTATAGTGATGTGCCAAATTGACTACTAACCTATGTGTGTAACTAAATAATTGTCTAAGTTGAGTTAGAAAGGAGACTTCTAGATTAAGTTAGAAGCTAAGTTGGCGACTAAATAAATTAGTGCGTGAATTAGTAATTAAAAAAACATCCAGTACTGAGTTTATGATGTACACATCATGGCTGAATATGGGCTATATATATGAATATACATGATAAATATTCAGAAAGAATTGACATAATGAATGGTCGCCGAAACAAAACTCGTGAACATCGATGACTGAAAGGTATTTGGCGGTTTTTTATTACAATGAACTTCATATCGATGATCTCGATTTCGGTAATGTTTGTATCGGCGGTCTCGTTTTCAGCGATGAACTACACAAGTATACTATGGATAAAATTTTACGGCGAAATTTTTCTTTTTGTTTTTTTCCCTGTATATATCTAAACCTGGGTGAAAAATTCAGTAAAACGATTATAACCGGACTTCAATGGTCTATGGCGACAAAATCTTGTATACTTTTGCTAGTCTTACTAAGGAGCCATTGTAAGTCCAATATGAGAGCAAATAATGGGTATCAACTCCACTGGTTACCTCGTATATCAATTATTTTTAATCACACAAAACTCTAACGACATAGTTTCAGTAAAAGTCCATAACTTTTAATGATGAAAACAATTAATCATTTCCTATAAATTGAAGTCTTCGAAGAAAAATAAATGAATGGTTTGTATATGAATGTTTTTGCTTTTGTTTTCTTAGAAACACCTCCATTATTTCCATCTCCGAAGAAACTTTTTTCACTCGTCAATTTAGCTGCATTAGGTGTACATACACTTTTATATGGTAGTGAAATAGATGCATGCTCACAAGATTCAATTGTTAGTGACCATAAAAATTCAAAAACAACAACAAATCTTAATAATGATATTGATTCAAGTAAAATACATAAGAAAAAACGAACATATGTTGAAATTAAAGTTGTTTATGCACAAAATATGCTTGAATTACATACAACAACGTAAGAAATGATGAAATATATAATATGAGAATATTTATTTGATTATATTTAGTGCTCGAAAATATGGAAAATGGTGGTCACAATGTTTTTTGACTGGTATTGAACAGATTCTATTAGGTTTTCGTGATGATTATGGAATTGTTCGTCAAATTCAACCATTACTTATCAAAGATATTGAAACACGTGCTGTAAAAAGTTTTATTTATAGATACATAAAAATTCTCAAATAAAATTTTTTTTTATAGCGCACATGGAGTTCTAGTTCATTTTTATCATTTCTCAATGAATTTTGTGCATTTGTTCGTAAGACAATAACAAAAGATTATTTCGAAGATGGAAAGTCAGTAGTTCATAATTATAATGATTATTTAATTGTTTTTTTTTCTTTTCAGAACTGTCTATCTTTTCTATTTTTCTCCAGAAGAGAAAAAAATTAAATGGCGTACTACAACTGAATCTATATACCAGTTTCTACCCGATTGGTTTATTTCACAAGATTTTTCATCATCAGAAATATTACCATCTGAATATAAACAATGAACAGTATTTTTTTTTCTTTTTGGTATCTGTTGTTTTGCTAGATATTATTCGTTTCTTTTTGTTTTTCGTTGGCATATATCTCTTTATCTGAAGTCTATTTAAAAAAAAAAAAATTTTGAAAAAAAAAAAACTAATTGACAAATATTTAATAATATTTTCAAAATAGGCCATAAATTTAAGATGAATATAGAAAATGAGAAGTGTATATGCAAATAACAATCGATAATGAGACTCATATGAAATGAATTTCGGCAGAAGATTACAGTCAGAAATATTGTGGTAATGAAATTTTTCATTAAATCTAAATCATATTTAAATCGTATTTCAGAACGAAGCTCATTTTATTCCGAGAAATCGAACCATATAGCTCGAGCGGGTACCGAGTACCTCACTTAATGCGATGTCTGAATTCGCCTACAAACTGCTACATTGATTCGAATTTCGAGTACGAAAAAGATTGCTGCATGTCATATCCGATTATTATTTCCTACACTGGAGGTATATGCATACCTATAATCATTCAATAGCTTCTTTAGTTTGTGTAATTTAATTCTTATGTTTTTTTTTCTTTACAATTTTTTTGCTTTCTGAATAATTTTCAAGAAGTTTAGTTCAGATTTTTGAAATTCGACTGTTTTTTTTTTGTTCTTTAATGTCAATGTCACAATAATTATCATGGTTTATAGAAAACAAAATAATAACGAAAAATCAAGATGAAGTAATACAAATAAAATTATATATTGTAGGCTATAAATCAGTCATAATAAATAATGTTCAAATAAATTTAATCTTTAGCATCATTAATTAAAGCATCAACTTGTTCTTCAACACTATCAAAAATACTTGGTCGATGTGGTTTCCATCCCAATTTTCTAACTCTTTCAGCTTTTGAATTTGATTGACTACCAACTAAATACCAACTATATTTGCCCCAAATACTACTTTCTACTTCATCATCTGGAAAACTTGTAACATCAGTTGATTTAGCAATACCTTTCTTGTATAAAACTTCACCAATTTTTTCTGCGAGTTGTCGCCAAGTATGTTTTCCATTTTCAGCAAAATAATAACCTTCTCGACCTGTCGTTAGATATGGACTCGGTTGTACATCGTGTTTAGCATCAGAACCATATGCAGCCAGAAGTTGATCAAGAATAATAATATAAGCATCAGATAAATCGGCAATGTGAACATTATTCCATGTTGCTTGACCTGATCCAATCATTTCGGCTTTATGTCGTTTTAAAGCTGCTCGAATCAGAGCTGGAAGTTGTACGGATGTACGATTGAATGGACCAGTACCGATACCATAAATAAGAGGTGGAAGAACGATAACAGCTTTTAAAAGTGGATTTGCATCTGCTGAGTTAATAATGAAGAGATCAATATTACGATGAGGTTGTTCATCAGCAAGACCGTTAATTTGATCAGGATTAAGATCAGAGTAAACTGTATCTGAACCAGCCTTACCACGAACATCTTCTACAAGAACACCTGTACCACTTGTATGAATATAAATTGCTGGTTTTCCTGTTTCTTTAGTTCGTTTATTTAAACCAGAAATAATAGCTTTAGTTGATGGAAAATCATCAGCTGAATTTGAAGTATGAATGACAACATGAGATTCACTTGCAGCTTTTTCAATAATTTCGAATGAATCATTCGAACCGATTACAGGCGTAACATTGAGTGATGATAATTTCTTAATTCTTTCATTATCACCACGAATAAGACTAGTAATATTAAAATTCGAAGCCCTTGGATGTTGAAGAAGAGCAGTTAAAATACTTCCTCCAATATAGCCAGTTGCACCGGTTAAAAAAATGTTGATTTTAGTAGAAGACATTGATTTAATACTTCAGCAAACAATGATAAGTTAAGGTGAAGAGCAAAGACACGCACATATATATATATATATATACCACAATGACACAGCAAATTCAAAAATAGAAAGAAAAAGAAACGTACGTAACTACTGACGACGTCGCAAATTTAGGGGAAGCAAGTAGAACGATATTGCAGCGACATTGATGACGCAGTTTAGATCGATGTTCTTTAGTCTCTCTTTTTTCAGATGCTTTTTTTTCTTTTGAACATAAAGTGCAGGCAAGAATTTTATTGAAATCGATATTTTATATGATGAAACACCTCATGCTTCAATCCCTAAAATGGTAGGCGTTATTTTTTCTTTATCTTTGTAACATATATATAGAAGTCTCTTAGACGTGATTTTTACTTCTTTTTTTATGATACTTTCTATCAACTCTTATGTTTTGTTCTTCTATTTACAAGTATAGAACAGAGAATTCTAGCAAGTTGTTTGAAATATCTTTAAACAATTGATCATATTTATTGATTATTATTTTTTAGAATGACCAAATTTTATAACGATCTCATACGATAAAAATACTAAGCTGTATGTCAGTTGTTTGAACAGACTGTAAAACTCATCAGTATTATTTTGATTTTATGAAAAAGACTGTTAGAACTCTTCCAGAATTTTTACTCCTGCGAAATATTCAGTAGAGAAAAACCGTTTATATGTTACTGCGATTTATTGTCTTGCAGAAGTCATGCAACAGATTTTTATGAATTAAGATTACCAAATTGTGGAGATGCTCATCAAGACAAATTTTGTTACAGTGTATTCATATTGTTATTATAGAAAAATACAAAGTGTCCAGAAAGTCATTGAACAGAAGAAAGAGAATCGTATATCTCGAGTATGGATCTATTGAATGAACTGGTTTTGTATTGCTGGTCAAGGATAATTTTAAGTTTTTATTCATAAATATAAAATTCTCAAATACTCCTACACAATAGCACTTTTAGGTTCAATATACAATAAAATCTTTCTTCCAATTACAAAAAACAATTATGTACGTTTTTTTTTCTTGAATTTTGTTCCAATATTATGAACTTTTAGTCACCCAGTCTTACTTTTCATGCTTTATAATCATTTCTTTAACACATCTAAAATATCGAGAGTGATCGGTACATTTTTTCAACACGATTTGTTCGTCTTTTATCGAAAATGTCGCTGAAAGGTAAACAGAGTAAACTGATACAATTTTATACCTATTATGAACGCTAGACTTGATATCAATGTGTTTTATATGTTAAAAATGTTGAACAAATGTTTATGAATCAATAGAAATAGATCTGAGTAACTGAAAGCTCACAATAATGAAACAAAATTCAAGAATAAATTCTGCATATTATTTTGTGTAACTTGAAAAAGGATCTTATTATATATTGAATCTGAAAGTGTCATCTTGTAGAAATACTTAGGGGTACCCAAAAGTAGTGGCGGAAGTACCTTATTGTCGTATAGAAGGCTTTGGGAAATTTTCTATTTTTATGAAATGATAGAAAAAACAAAACTCTATTTTTCTGTACTATTTCATCCCTATTCATCTGGTACTATAATAATAAAATGTCGATAGAAACTGTTTTTGTTGAAAACTTAACTTACGGATGTGACAAATTATATGGTTACATTTTGTATTTCAATTTNGATAAAATAAGATCATCAAAAATAAGACATAGTGGCTCCTGGACCCCAGGGGACGCCCTCCCAGCACCGCAAGCAGTACTAGGCCCCCTGGGAGTATGTAAATACTCCCCAGTAGGGTGCTAGCTTTGGTAATGTATTATTCACAAGAACTTAATTTTTACAGGCTTTTTTTTACACTTTTTCTGTGACAGAAAAGAGTACATCCATACTTTGCTGCTTAGAATATTCATTAGAAACACTGCTTCTGCAACTTTCGAAATACATTTAGACTACAGAAAACTCACAAGAACACCAATCAAGCTGTCTTATTTTTGATGATCTTATTTTATCAGAAATGTAAATTTTTATTGTTTTGGCAATCTGTCGGAAAAAATTTTAAACTAATTAGTTGGAACTTTAAAGATATGATTGTTAATAATTGAATACTTTTTTAATAAAGATGTTTATTGGTATTGGAAATGTTTTATCAATACAATACCGATGTTGTGAAGAAATTCAATCGTTTTTATAACCCATGACAGTCTATGAGTCGATAAATGGCTAGCTTTATCTGTCAATAAACAACACACTCATTGCTTATGTATAAATTTAATTTTGTTATTGCTTTATAATTAAAAATAGAAGCTCTTCAACGTTGCATTGATCGCGTGAAATGCACGCATACCATTAAAGTTGACTTTAAAAAAGAACAGAAACTTCGGCTATATTTAAATGGTATGGAGCATTTTCTGCATCTGCATGATACAGAAGTTTCATGTGACTTCTAAGTTTTTCCCAATGCTCATGTAAAATCGAAGTCTGTTGAAGCTTTTTAGCATATCATAGACTTTTATGACGTCTTGTAAAGTCTTATGAAGTTCATTAAGTCTCAAGAAATCTTCTGAGGTCATATAATTAAATTCTCTGTTGTTGAAGTATTGAGATCCACTGTGTCCCTCTCTTGTTTGTCTTATTGATATTTGTCTCTTTAATATGAATAACTCTCAAATGGAATAAGTTCGTGCAAAATAGGTACAAATAAAACTCATTATTCCAAATAAACATTTTTAACACGAATGAAAAGAAAAAACTTTGAGGACATGATTGAAATTGTTTTCCAAACTATTACATTTATTACAAGACTAATTTTATCTTCTATTAAAAGACTTTTCATGAAACTCACAAAGACATGAAGTATTAATAGTCCAATTATCTTAAATAAAATAAAGAAATGTTAAAGAAAAAAACTTAAAAAGTCAGTAAAAAAACTTTAATTATGAATAAAATGTCAAAGTAGTAGCCGATTTTATATCAAATGTGACATAATATCTTGAGCTTTCTATTTAATGTCAGTTTGTGATAGACAAAGAAAAAAATTTGCCCTTAACTTGAAGAAAAAAGTAGAAACAAAAATTGTCAGAATAAACATCATTCATTGCTTTACTACACCAAATTGGTACATCAGTTTTTCCAATAGGTGATGCAACATATTCTAAAGTCTGCGCAAACACTGTTTCTTATGAGTTATTATTATAATTAAAAGTTCTTGTGGAACGTGTTCTAAGGAACAAAAAGAAAATAAACTTGACTTTCCAGATTCAAAAACCTTTGGTCCAATCTTTTTAGATTTCTAAAGTATCCGAGTGTTAACATATTTTTAGAACTAGCTGTGTGAAACTATTGACATCCTTCAATTTCTGACAGTCGAATACTATAGAGTTCCATGCATATGATATGATGATATTTGACAACAGAAACTTATGGGACTCGATATTAAATCGGCTTGTCCAACTGTTAATGTTATTACATTTTGACACATTTTTTTCAATTATCTTGGAAGGTTCGAGAGCTCGAAAAGTCACTCAAACACCATTCAACGCAGTTTATCACACTCTATTTATGCTGTAAGAATGACCGCTATTGGCTGAAGTCTCAGATTTCTAAGAATGTTTCATCATCGCGTAATGCTGTTACATTGGAAGGTTCTTTTCTCCGATGTCACTGACAAAGCTCTAATTTCGCGGGAAAATATTTCTCCAAATGAAATGCTTGTAGAGTGAGTTTTATAGAGCATATAATGAGCTTTTAAGCGGTAGCAAAAGCTTTTCCTCTAAACTATTTTTGCTCAGATAAAAAATGTAAAAAATAAACGTAATGCTGTGACATAGTTTTTGTCAACCAATTTTGAGATACTACAAAAATCAAAAATAAATACGCCATTGTATAGAGCATTGAATTCTTCATTGAGTGATATGTCATTCAATACTTTTTGAAAAATTTTTTGTTAGGAAAATTAAAATACGTTTTTTGAAAAATCTAAAATACGATTTTCAGTGTCAAAATCCAATTTTTTAATGAACGAATGCGACATTCGTAATTGGCGCAAAAAAACGACACATAGTGGTGCATTCAGATCTATTCAACTCGAAAAAAAAAATTTCAAAAACCTGATCAACAATGTGTCATGTTATGCAAACAAATCGGGATTATCTGTCAAATCTTGTCGTTTTTGATTGTCAGAAAAAGCTTAAAATAACCACTAAATCGACATGAATCTTAGACAATGCTAAGCAATCATATACATTTATTTTAGTTGTAGAAAATTATCTCTAAAAACATGATTTTGTTCACTGTTTTCATTTCAAACTCTTTTTTTATTAGCTTCACATTGTTCTCCATGTTATTTTTTTTTTGTTCATTTTTTCCCAGTTAATCAAAAGATTAATTCTCTTGACCTTATATTCATATATTTTGTTCTCTTAAAGTACTTTTAATATTCAAATTCTTACGACTACAAGATGTTTTAGTAAGATAACAAAACAACTAAAATATTCTTTTCTTTATTTATTTAAATCTTTCTCAACAGCAATGCATATGAGGGTATATTAAATAATTGAATAGAGAAATATAATGATTGTTACAATATAATAGTCAGATGACGTTATATGTTGCTATACTCGATCATCTATGACGTTGTATATGGTTGGTTGCATTGCCCGTGGTATTCATTTTAATCAATATTGTTTTAATGAAAAGAAAACGGCACATCTTTACAATTCCGTGGTATCTGCAACGTTTGTTTGCACTTGTCGTAACTGTTATCTGACGATTTCTTATCAGATATGGTGAAATTCTTGGGAAAAATAATTTGATGGTGCAAGGTAAATTATAAGATCTGATGACATCAAAATCTAAGATTCTTTGTCTTGCAATGTTTTCTTCAGATTTCATATATTTCTATTTCATTTTGTTGAAAGAAAAAAAAAAGACTACAGCATATTTGTTTATTTTATTTTAATGTGATCAATGCTTATGAACGTTTAAATATATTTCAAAATAAGCAACGCAAAAAGCTGTTATTTTAACATTGATATTTTGAAAAAACAAAAGTCTGATTAACTCATTCCACATTCAGTCTTTGCTTCCATTATGTACAGTAATTCTCTGATAATGATCTGGAACATCATCTGTAAAATAGTCATCAAGTGTTAAGGCAATCCGTTGTGCAAGGTCTGATGTTATAGGATTTATTTTGTTTCGATTCGAACGGAAACAGTTGTTTTCATTGTTTTTACAATAAGTACCATAAATTAATTGACGTAATAATTGTTCATTATTTGATGCTGTTTGTTGATCGAATTCTTTCATCTCATCTAACGCCATCTCAATTGCTTGCTCAGAAACAAATGCTTTTGCTCGTTTATTATGAATAAGAATATTGAGTAAAGAATAAACAACTGGATTATATAACGAAGATGATCTATAAAGCTTAAGACCCATTACAGCTTTACGATATATTGGGGGAACAGGAGATAAACAATTGACCAACAAACAACTGGAAATCAATAACAAACCAAATGTTCGAAGAGACATTATAACGGTTCAGCAGTTGATAATGAAAGCACAAAGAAAAACGTCTGTATATATATATTACAATATAAATAATTTAATTCTATAAGGCAAAAGAGAAATATTTAAAACATTTATAATATTTATGTAATCAAGAGCACATTCCATATGTAGTGTTGTTCATTTTTCTTAATGAAAAGATGAAAAACTATCGTGATATTTTTTTATAGGACAAAAAACTCCGTTACTCATTCTACCATTATCATAATAAATGACTTTCATCGAAATTACATATTACTACGTTTCTCTATTGAGGTATTTATAGCAATTATTACTTTAAAAGTTATTAAGAAAAAATAAAAAAACATCTCTCTCTATCGTTGATAATCTCCTGAAAGTACTAATCTTCATCAGAAAAAGATAATAATCTATTCTGCATCTTTGAATATAGTATGCAAAACAAAATTATTTACTTATTTTACAAACCAGATGTCGACAAAGATTTAAATCAAACATTTAAGTAAATAGAATGTTTGAAGCTTTGGTTCTAGATTTTCAATAGAAATTTCATTAGAAAAACTCGTTTACTATGATTCAAGTGTTTACTTATTATAAGATGTTTTTATCCTTATTGAACTTACAATAATAGTATCTACATGGATAATGGGTAGAGTTTTCGAGATTAAAAGAACACGATACCAGTTACAGTATATGAGACTATCTTATTACTGGTACTATTTGAACTAATAATCCAGTTCTATCGTCACATCTAGAATAAGTAATCGGAAAGATGAGATCGACGCAATAAACTATTGAAATTAATCACATAGAGTATAACCGGTACTCACAAGGGCTAGATGACTATTCGAAAGGTAAATAAATGACTCAAGCTGAAGGAAAAAATTATAGGTTCCTTGAAATTTCATATATTTCGCTGAACAGAATTTGATTTTATTTTGACATTATTGCAAAAAGAAATTCAGTTTCACTCTGACCAAAACACCGATAGCATTTCTGAAAAAACTTTCATCATGAAATGAATAGAAAATGCATGTTTCATAAGTTTTGATCCTCTTTTTGATTCTTTTTTTTGTATCTTGCCAGTATTTGAAGGTAGATGGATATTAAATATATGAAATTTGGAGAGTGGCATATAAACTATTATTAACGAGAGATATTTAGCTAAATTTGCATCAACTCAAAGAAAATACTACATTGATAAGAAAAGTTGAAAAAAAAATTATCAAAATCATTTTTTTTTGACGTGACGGAACGTTACAGCATTTCATTTTTTCGTATTTGGTAAGCCGTATCTCTATGAGAAGCCAAGCAAATACTCTGAAATTTTCATTATAGATGGAATCTTATTAGATCTACTATTCATGACAAATTTCATTCGTTTTAATACAGTCCAAGCAGAGTTATTCTCGAAATAGTGACTGTTACAAAGTCTCACAAAAGCCTAAATTACGCAACGGTAAGTATTTCGAGAATAACTCTGTTTTAATTGTATCAAAATGAATGAAATTTCCATATATGGTAGATTTGATAAGAACCCTTCTATATTGAAAACTTCAGAATATTTGCTTTGCTTCTGATGAAGATACGATTTATCAAATACGAAAAACTGATTGTAATAAATTTTTTTCGATTTTTCTTACCAATGTAGTATTTTCTTTGAGTTGATGCAAATTGAACCAAATTTATCGTTGATGATAGCTTATATGCTACTCTTCAAAGACATACATTCAATATACATCGATCTTCAAATACTGTCAAGATACAAATAAAAGATCAAAAGAAGGTCGAAACTTATGAAATGCCTTTTATCAGTTTGCAACAACATCAGCCATCATCTCCAGAACGTATGCATGAAGTAAATTCTTTTTGAGTTATATGGTCAAAATATTTCAGGTTATAAATATGTAGTTGGGAAAATAAGTTAAAAAACACATTTGTTTACCGCTGCAGAACTTTCTGGTAATAAATATATGCAACCCACTCATTCTTTTGTTTTAGAAAAAGCTATATCTTGGTATAAAAGCCGAAGGTAAATTTAACTTTCTAGACACTACTGAAAAGAACACTCTTTACGCTACGAAACTCAGGATAAAAACATGTTTTTTCATTTCCCTTTTGGTTTAAAAAAAATTAGCAGAAAATAGAACTGTTGTTGCTCGATAATGGAATCGCGCGAGCTTTAATGGGGGTGTTTAGCTGTGGGTGTTTCATCCACTTCAAGTTCATTCTAAAAAGAACAATGTCTGGTGCAAAATTTGTCGTTTAGAGATTGTTTATTCTAGCAAAAACACATTTTCTTGATTTAAAAGTCAGCAATATAGCATAACAGTTTTACAGTTTTGCAAAAACTTTTCCATCATATATTAATTCGAATAACGTTGAAAATGTATTTTCTTGCTCAATTTTATGTGGAAAATTAGCAGTCAAGTTTTAAAAAAGTTTATTTAATTATATGTCTGGCGAGCATATGTGGAATTTTGTTAATTTTATTAATAAAATTTTCTTGAATCTGACTTTTCAATAACAAATCATTTTTTTTTGTGTTTATAACTCAATATTGGTTTATTAAAATATATAGAATAATTGAATAAAATGTTCTTCATGTAGAAGTTAAAAAATTTTTCATAGCTAATTTTAAAAGCAACAGTACTAATAATAAATCATTTTTTATGACATGAAAAGAATTCGAAAACGCCTACAAACACATGACTATTCTTCAATTATTCATTCCTTTCATGCATATTCTGCTGAATCTCTCGACAGAGACACTTCAAGCATAGGATATCTCACCTCTGTTGGATAAAATTATTTCAATAATTTAATTTGTCATGGAAGATCTACTAGTAGAAATTCATTAACAAAATTATTGATGGACTTATGCATGATTTAATAATATTATTTACTGATGTTTTAAGAAAAGAAAGTGCATTGAATAGAATGGTATAATAATGGTGAATAGACTATTCGCTCTAAAGGATTATTAAGTAGAAAAGAAAAAAAGCATCAGTCGTCATTAAATTTTGCGTTTCATTACTCAGTTTTTTTTTTCAAGATTGTTTATTCTATCATAATACTGATCTTGTTTTCATTAATCTTATTGTGGATTTTTGTTGAATGAAATTTCGTGTTTGTTTTTGATAGATTACTAGGCTTATTAAAGGGTGATCGAAATGTTTTGATGCCTCTTGGTAAATCAATGACATACAGTGAATACCAAAATTATTCAACAACGTTTATTTTCAATTTTTCCATTATCTTGAACGCTAGAAACAATCCAAATAATGATTCTGGTAGAGAAAATTGTTTCCAATCAGATTATAAGGAAATAAGAATCCTAAGTAGATTCGTAAAGACGGTGTGTCCAGAAAATCAAAACCCTAGTTTTTTAGCACCTAGAATGCGCAAATATAATTTAATTTAGACTACGCAGGATGATAGAGAAAACAATTCTCTACAAAATGAAACGTCTTCGAGTTCTCTACGATGTTTTTTGGCTGAGATATAGCAATTCTACTGAAGCCTCTAAACGTATTTTTTCACGATTTTCTATGAAAAAAACATTTTTGGGCCTATAATCATGTTGCTGTATCTCAGCCAAAAAATATTGTAGAGAACTCGGAGACGTTTCATTTTGTAGAGAATTGTTTTCTCTATCATCTTGCGTAGTCTAAATTAAATTATATTTGCGCATTCTAGGTGCTAAAAAACTAGGGTTTTGATTTTCTGGACACATCGTCTTTACGAATCTAATTAGGATTCTTATTTCCTTATAATCTGATTGGAAACAATTTTCTCTACCAGAATCATTATTTGGATTGTTTCTAGTGTTGAAGATAACGGAAAAAATTGAAAATAAACGTTGTTGAATAATTGTGGTATTCACTGTATATGATTAACCCTATATATATGGTTCATTAATCGAAATATAGTATTTTGCAGAAGAAGGTTAGAGATATTATGTGAGAAAAAGATACTTTGAAATGCACAAATGTCGTGCAATGTTCTAGTCGTTTTACTAATCTTGAGGTAATATTTTCATCTTACGTTTTTTTGGAAAATAAAAAAAATCTTTCAATAAAATATTTAGATGATTTATAAGTTTCTTTTGGTTTTATAAATATCAATAATCAAATATTGTGATGCGTTAAACTTGCTGTCAGATGATTGCTTTAAACCTTTTTTTGAAATACTCTTAATTATTTTGTTGGATTTTTCTACAATAAAATGTTTCCATATATCAATGATTTTTTTGTTTCACATCTTCACATTTACTTAAAATCTTATCAAATCATATCATACAAGTTATCTATTGATCATATATCATCTGTTTAGCTTTGACATGAATACTGCATGTGTTTGAATAAACCTGTAAATACTATCGGAAAGATCAATCTAAGCAGCCGGCTTATCAAAGAATCAATTAAAAAAGTAAACTTCATAAAATAGGACTTAATATGAAGGTCTTTAACACAATGATATGTTATAAAACTGTAATTATAATCAGCAAAATATGATGAATATTATTCTATTAAAATAATAAATCTGATAAAAAAAAACATCTCTGTGAATAAAATGCATACAACTATGACTTTAAGAAAAACTTTTTAAATTTCCCATGTAAAAAAACAATGGCTAAAAATCAGATTGAAATGGATTATTTCTGGATTGAACATCAATTAAAATGATACTATTTTTAGCTGATTTTAATCAGATTATTCAGCCTTCAAGGCAGATTTCATTGACTTCGATCTATTTTAATGTATGGTAATCGATTAGTAAACTTTAGCCGATTGAAAAAGATCAAAATCAAATGAAATCTGCCTTGAAGGCTGAAAAATTTGATTAACATCAGACTAAAATAGTGCCATTTTAATAGATTTTAATTTGATTTTTAGTCGTTTTTCTTGCAT